TTAGACATTTTACCTCCTAGACGCTAATAATAATGACAACAAGTACATAATGCAATTGAATTTTGACACCCTTTCCTGAAAGCCAGCATTGATTACCCCAGAAACTCTATCCGTAGATCCGGTGAACTCGGGACGCGATTCAGCGAACGCCCGATGGGATGCTAGGCTGCCCCCGCGCTCACTGGTGGAGACGAAAAAGTCCGCCCAATCACTCTCCCAATCCCCTGGAACTAGGGGGAGCTGTCCCCTGCGAGCCGCAATTTCAGGTGGTGTTTGCGCCATTCCACCGGTTTTCACGGGTGGCATTTCATTTCAGTTGCGTCTACTTTTCAAAGCTTGCATCTGGCCCTGAAGCGGGGAAGATGGAGGGGCGGAGGGCTTTCAGGGGTTAAGATGTTGCCCTATAAGTCTACCTACTGGATTGATCCATCTGATATCGTTGTTCGTGTTGCGAAAAGTTCCCAGCTTTCCTGTTCCTTGCAGCGACTCGACGTTGGTGCATTGTCGCGATGGTTGTCTCCAAGGCCTACCTGCTCGGCTGGGCAGCAGCAGTTGCGATTGCTTCGCCAGTCGCTGTTGAGACGCCCTTCAGCTGGAAGAATACGGAATATGTGTGAGTTCTGAAAATCCACACGGACGGCTACTTGAAATCACTGACGCGAGAAGGGGCTCAGACTCACATTTGGCGACTCTTACACATTCGTCCAAGGAACCGAAGGTCGCTGGGCATACAGCTTCATCGGATCCCAGCTGAACATTTCTTTCACACCCGAGCAGCTCCTCGGTGACCGCATTGTTCCGGGACAGAACACGTCTTCTGCCGGCGGGCCTAATTGGGTTCAAGAGCTCACTGGCTGCAAAGAGGGCCATCCTCGGGACTGCGAGAAGCAATTATGGGGGTTCGCATACGCCGGAGCTGATATTTCGACTACCTTGTGAGGAATTCTCAGCTAATTCGACGCAAAGCGTATGAGATGAAGCTAACACCATCTCAGCGTCCCGCTGCACTGGAACCATACCATTTCGTATGAGAAACAGGTCGAACAATGGGATACCTACGGCAAGTCAGTCATTAACGCCGATCCCACCAAGTCACTCGTGGCCTCCTACATTGGAATCAATGACATCAACGACATGGCCAATTTCCAACTCCCTGTCAACGGGCTGAACAGCTGGGAAGAACTGTACACTGCAGTCATCGCTGAGCAGTTTGCAGCCTTGGAGACTGTATATGAAGCCGGGCATCGCCACTTCCTGTTCCTGAACTTACCTCCCCTCGATAAGAATGTACGTCAAATCCGGCACAGTTTTCGTTTCGACAACCTCTTCAAGAATCGTGTTGACCATACTACAGCCCGCATCGCAACTCAACCCAGCCCGTCTCCCAAGCACAGACATGATCAAGACGTTCAACGGCGTAGTCAACCAGACCGCAAAGGCGTTCTCAGAAAAGCATCCCGACGTGACTGCTCTGGTATTTGACACGTACAGCTGGCTTACACAGGTCTTTGATAACGCGGCGTCGTACGGGTTCACCAATACGAGCTCTTTCTGCCCTAGCTACAAAGCCTGGGATATCGATACGAACTACGCTGCGTACGGGTGTCAGCCGATTTATGAGTACTTCTGGTATAATTCGGGTCACATTACGTACCATGTACATGAGCTTCTGGCGCAAAAGGTCAAGGAGTTCCTAGTTCAGAAGAGCGCCAGTGGATGCGGAGGGAGGAATCAGACGCTTAGCGCATGGGGAGCGAGATGGATCGGCGGGAAGTCAACCTGAATCCAGCGAACAATGTAAGATCAGTGCATTGATGTTGATCAGTCAGGATTGTTCGTTATCGGCCTCGCAAAGATAATTGCTTAAAGTTTCCATTCCATTGCAGGCAGTCGCTAGCAAATTTTCTAAGGCCTATCTCCCCAAGCCTCGGAGCGATGTATTCAAACGTTATCGGCTCTCAAGATCTAGGCCGGGAGAGAAACCTATCGAAGCCCATCTTGAGCGTCCTAAATTATAATTTCGAAAATAAAGTCGCGGAAGTACAGATTCTTTTCTATCCTCAGAAAATGTTTGGAGCCGCTCCCAGAAAGTTACATAGAGGATAGTTGACCTGAATGACTCAATTGTCTGGTGTTAATTCAACGAATCTTGTTTACGAGAAGACTCTTGTGATAAGGCTTCATAGAAAGTAAGAGGCAAGCCGATCGGGGTAGATGGCTGACATTGTCGGTTTTGAAGTCGACACAACTCTGCAAAGTTGAAAATGTCAGCATTAGCCATTTAAAGCTAGATTTCCGTGATGCTCAGAGATAATTGCTCCGTGCCGCACCGTGCCGGGAAGCCGATCAGGTCTAAACGCCGGCCGAGATAGGAAGGTCAAAGTTCTGGTCGAATCAAAAGCTCAGGATAGAGGTTTATCTGAGTTTTGACCCCACTCTGTCGTCGTTCTCGCGATCCTTCAGGACGTGTGCAACGCGTCACGTCATGCGAGACAGGCTGATCTGTAAGACTCTCTTCCGATAAATACACTGCCGTAGTCATCCATCATATCGAAAGAGAGTCAATGGCGGTTTTATCTCGTGAGTTGTGTTTGTAAAGATGTTGTCCTCCGCCTCAATCGCGCTTGTCGGGCTCGCCGGTCTCGCGGCCGCGCAGTTCCCGCCCACACCCGAGGGGATCAAGGTGCTGAAGTCCAAATTCCACGAAAATGTCACCATTTCATACAAAGAGGTGAGCGCAAATTGTTTTGGATGGTCTTTTGCATCCTTGACTAATTGAGGTCCTTGTCCTCTAGCCCGGTATCTGTGAGACCACGCCCGGGGTCAAGTCGTACGCCGGATACGTGCAGCTACCCTCAGGAACCCTGAATGACGTCGATGGGGAAGCTCAAGACTACCCAATCAACACGTAGGAACCGCAAATGCTCTCGGCTATCACTTGGAACTGGTACTGATTCTTACAGCTTCTTCTGGTTCTTTGAGGCGCGCAAAGCTCCCGAAAATGCTCCATTGGCAATCTGGCTCAACGGCGGACCGGGAGGCTCCTCCATCATGGGCCTCCTCGAAGAAAACGGCCCCTGCTTCGTGAACGAGGACTCCAAGACGACTCGTCTGAATCCGTGGAGTTGGAACAACGAAGTGAATCTCCTCTACATCGACCAACCGACTCAAGTCGGATTCTCCTACGACATCCCAACCAACATTACCATCCACGCCAACGAGAACTTCGAAGAAAACGGACCATGGGGCATGTTCCCTGCCGATTTCAGCGACGGTGTTCCCGAGGGCAACTACACCTACCGTTATGGCACGGCATCAAGCCAGAAGCTATCGCATACGTCAAACACCACGGCGCATGCTGCGCACGCTCTGTGGCACTTTGCGCAGACGTGGTTCTTTGAGTTCCCTGGCTACAAGCCCATTGACGACCGGGTCAGCTTGTGGGCCGAGTCATACGGAGGACACTATGCGCCTGGTATTTTCCGACACTTCCAGACGCAGAACGAGTTGATCCAGAATGGCTCATCGCCCGAGGAGAATGCCCAGTATATCCACCTTGATACGCTTGGAATCGTCAACGGGCTCATTGACCTGTCGATCCAAGGTGAGACTTGGATCACGTTCCCGTACAACAATGTGAGCAATTTGTACCCCTTGATACAGCCTATAGTATCTGGGTGTATCATGATGAGATACAACGCTGACTACCTGTTCAGACCTATGGAATGCAAATCTTCAATGAGTCGGTTTACGATGCGTTGATGCACAACTGGACCCGCCCAGACGGTTGCAAAGACCGAATTCTCGACTGTCAGGAAGCCCTCAAAGAACATGGACCGCTAGTCGCCAACGGTGTGAAGAAGAACTACACTGAAATTTGCGGCGACTTCCTTACCGAGTGCGGCTTCAACGCCGTCGAAATCTACCAGAGCAAAGACGATGGAAGGGGCTGGTATGATATCGGACACAGCAAATATGACCCTTTCCCGGCCCCGCACTTGTACGGGTACCTCACCGAAGGCGAGGTTTTGTCGTCTCTCGGCGTGCCTGTGAACTACTCGGAATCGTCCGCGGCAGTGGGCATCAGCTTCCAGAATACTTTCGGTAAGATGGTTACATTCCCATTCGCGGGCGCTTCATGCTTTCAGATGAACGTTATACTGAGTGATTTTTATAGATATGATCCTGGGTGGATTCGGAGAGTCAATCGGGTACCTCCTCGATAGCGGCGTCAAAGTTCACATGATGTGTGAGTCTTGATCATCCCCATCCTTGAAAGTTGCGTGCTGTTCCTAACGCTCTTGTGTGCAGATGGAGATCGCGACTACGCCTGTAACTGGGTCGGCGGCGAGAAGGCTAGTCTGGCGATCCCCTACAACCGATCGATAGACTTTGCCAACGCCGGGTATGCCCCGCTCATCACCCCCGATGGTGTAACGGGCATGACGCGCCAGTTTGGAAACTACAGCTTCTCGCGCGTCTACCAAGCCGGCCACGAGGTGCCGTCTTATCAGCCCGTGACGGCGTACGAGATCTTTATGCGGGCGACGTTCAACCGGGACATCGCGACGGGACTCATCCCCGTCACGGACGAGCTGTCGACGATCGGCGTCAAGGACACGTGGCACATCAAAAACATCCCGCCCCAGGAGCCGGATCCGATTTGCTATGTCCTCAAGCCCGAGACGTGCCCCGAGGATGTGTGGAAGACGGTCGAGGACGGTACCGCACTGGTGAAGGACTACTACGTGATTGACGCTACTCGAGAGAGTCAAGGCCAACAGATTTCCGAGGAGCTGTGAAGAAAATGGGCAAGGGAATGGTAACTTGCTCAATAGACTACATGCACTTTGAGGTAGTTAGCGCAATTCATGTTTTGAGGCAGGCCGCAAGCTCAACACTTTGGGGCCAAACAAGTAGAGACGGCCGGGACAAGTGTGTTTCAGTGATTGGACGCATGAGGGGAACTCGTCAGGAAACATGCAGCGCTGGTATCTGCCCTATGCCCTAGCGCCGGTGTCTAAACGTATTGTAGTTGCGGTCCGACGAGTTTTAGCTCCCTCCAGCTCCTCAAGCTTCAATAAACTAAGGTTCTCCTCATCTCGGGTGCGCGCATTTCGAGGGTTGCCAGGGTCAGTGTGCAGCGTGCCCGTGGTTCTGGGTGCGCGACATACCGTATGTGTTCCGGAGAGACAGTGAACCTGAGTCGTCTGAACAAGAAACTCAAAAAGAGACTCGGCGAGACAGACGATCCGCCAGCTGGCGGCCATTTCGTCCGATCCGAAGACGTGGATGGCCCTGGCGGGACGTTGTTGCGCCGGCGGCACGACAGCACGAGCCCCCGGGAGGCGCAGCCCCGAGCGAGGGCTGAGCAGGGGGGAAACGCGGCCGCGTTTTTCAGACGGGACGGGGGATTGGTATCAACTGCAGACAGCAAGAGATGAGAGTCTGCATGGCGGTCATCGCGCGGGTGACGGGGCAGCGGGTGAGACCGGGGTTGGTTTCTCTAGAGAGCTATTGGTATGTGCCAATGAAGTAATGGCACACTACGAGACTGTACGACCCTTTCACATGCTAGTTTGAAGATGGGGACTGAGGGCCTCTTATCTCAAAAGAAGCAGCGTTCCCAACCCCTCCCTCGAGAGAATCGGTCTCGAGTGTGTTCTGTTCCTTGTTACTTTACGTTGATCTATCCAGCCTCTTATTGTTTCTGTCACTCAACTCCACTGATTTGCTGAAGCTTTTTGGACGTGCCCAGTGTCGACTGAAACGGCGCTGAAACAACTGCTCCTGGCAGAGTCAAGACATTTGGCCATTTCATAGGCCTCCAGCCATTCCATATCTCATTAATAACAACGACAACAACAAAGAGCGATTCTTTAGAAGAGAAACAAACACGGGAGACGAACTTTAGACGGGAATCATACAATCACACGGCAAAATGGATACAAAATCATTCTCATCACGGATCAGTGATCTTGTCAAGGTAAGCAGCACCGCATTCCATAACGACTGGTTGCCCATCAGCAAGGGCTCCACCACATGATTCAAGCACTCTCAAAAGAAGCAAAGCCGCTAACAACAAACCGCTCTAGTTCCTTTCCTCTGTCCAGGGAGACCTCTCAAATGTCACCGCGCCGCCCTCTTTCTTGGCGCCATCGTCAGTGGTCGAAGTCGGCCACTGCTGGTGCCAGCGGCCAGGCGTCTTCGTCGCCCCGGCACTGGAATCAGACCCGGAGAAGCGCAGCTTGAAGGTGCTGCGCATGATCCTCATCGCCATGCGCAGCCAGTTCTACGTCGCCGGCGCGCCAAACGTCAGCATTAAGAAGCCACTCAACGCGTTTCTGGGTGAGCTGTTCCTCGCTTCGTGGACGGATTCCGATCGGAAGGCGAGGACGGAGCTCGTGGCGGAGCAGGTTAGCCACCACCCGCCCATCACGGCAATGCACATGGGCAGCAAGGAGCATGGTATTCGCGCGGACGGGTATGCGCGGGTGGAGATGACCTTTTCGAGTACTGTGAACATTCGACAGATTGGGCACGCCGTGGTTCACATTGACCGATATGACGAGGATTACCTGATTCCGTTGCCAGAGGTCAAGGTTCGGGGATTCCTCAACGCGTGTCTTTACCCAGAGGTTTTGGGAACATATTACATTGTTTCCAACACGGGCTACATTTCAGAGATCAAATTCTCGGGCAGCGGGTTCCTTAGAGGCAAGAAGAATTCATTCGAGGCGCGGATGTATCACAAGAACGACAAGAAGAACACAATCTACGAGCTTCAAGGATGCTGGAGCGAAGGCTGGACAGTCAAGGATGGAAGGACAGGGGAAATTCTCGAAAAGTACGAGGTCGACGCGTTGGAGAACCTCCCAGCGCCGATGGAAATGGAGCCGATTGCGACCCAAGATCCGTGGGAGTCTAGACGCGCGTGGAACGGCGTCATTCAAGGGCTCAGTAAGAATGACTTCCGCGAGACGGTCAGCGCAAAGAGCCAGGTTGAGGAGGCGCAGCGGCGGATGAGGGCAGAAGAGAAGAAGAAGGGCGAGACATGGGAGCCTTTGTTCTTCAAGAGTATTCCTGGGGAGGAGCACGAGGTTTTCCATCGGTTGGCAAAGGGCGTTAATTGGGAATTACATGACAAGCATACCAAAGGCGTTTGGAAGATTGATGATTCAAAGAGGGACTCGGTGCAACGGCCGTTCAGAGGAGAATCGACACCACTGGGTTAAAGGAATATTGCCTAGATCTAAATTTGATGCATTATGACTATTTGACTAAAATACTTGCGCCAGATCTCTGTTGTTATCTCTTCAACTTCCTCCTGCTATTCAGGTCGAGAACGCTGCTTCTATAAGCCTCGTTAGCTTATCACGCCAGACAAATTATTCCGTGGAGGTGATGAAGTAGTCGTAGAATCTGGCATATCAGGTTTAATCTGAGTCTGGCGGCGACTTCGGCCACGTATCCCAGTCCACCACATCTTCCCACCTCAACGGACTTTCGTCTTCATCCTCCCATTCTTCCCCAGACGCCGCACTTCTCACAAAAGCGAGTTGCCTGGAGATTACAGGAGACGACGCATTGCCGGCTTGTGGCTTTCTTCCCTCATTCTTCTTCTTCCCCTTTCCCTTCTCTAAAAAGAAGGACTTCCTCGTTCTTTGAGCCCAAGTTTTCAACTGGTCCGGATTCTGGGCGCAGAATAACACCAATTCCCTGGTCGCCAGACAATTCTCCAGATCATCGTGTGCTACACCCTCAGCCGCCCAGGCCGGAGAACGTATTTGGATACCGAGAAGCTCCTTGCACAGCGCCTCCAAGCCCCACCTCTTCGTAATCTTCGATTTCGACCCGAGGACGGCATCTGCAGTGATGATGGCGGAATCAATGATTCTCGCATGGAAGGTGTGTAGCACCCGCAGGTCATTGCGGACTGACTGTCCGATGAGAATCGTGTCCTTGTCAGAGTAGCGCCATAGTTCCGCGCGCGCGGCCTCCCAGCCGTCCAAAGCTTCATTTCGTAAAAGAGCTGCGGACATCTTGGTCGCATTGAGACCAGTGACGTCTTCACGCCAGTCTAAGATGGGTCTTCTTGGATTTACAAGCCGGCGGCTCAGCAATACATTGCCCGTAAGGAAGTCGAGAATAGTGATCTGGATCAGTTCGTTTTCGCCTCGTTCGGTACCGCCCATCTCGCAGTCTATGACGAGAGCGGCATACTTTGGATTGGATTGGGTTTTATCAGGACAGGGTAGATCAAATGTCGACGCCATGCTGGACGAGCCGTGCGTGGCATTGACCATTGTGGTCGGTAGAGTATATCGTTCCTTTCGGAGTCTCTCCTCTGAGTGACAGAGATCCGAGATTTGGTTCCAAATAGCGTTTCGTCCGACTGCTGGCGAGTACATGTTGCCCCTGTATATGGTGTGCATAGGCGTAGTAGTTTCGATAGCCTTGACTGGCTGGTTCCTGAGCAGCTCAGGGGTCTCAGGTCCTTTGGCTCTGGTTGGCAGATATACTACCAACGGACGTGGGCGGACAGGTTCGGCGGCTCTGGCTGGCTGGGTAACAACCGGAAGAGTTTGTACAAGTCCGGCGATTCTAGTCGATTGAGCAGGAACCTCATCAGAGTGTTTTGCGCGCCTATGTTGTCGCTGACCTTCTTTGGTACTGAATCGTTCCTTGCAGATCGCACATTGGTGCTTTCTCTCTTTTTGATAGGGCGGCATAATCAGGAATTCAGTTGAGGACTGTGAAAAAGGAGAGGAAGAGCAATGAATACCCCGGGGGAAACGAATGTTTATCATTAGTGTGTTTATAACTGGGAACCCTGGGTACATTCACGTGGTCCAGACCGGTCACGATTTGGTTGCGTGAAAAGTTGGCGGCCTACAACATGATCTCTGTTGGTGCAAGAGCGGCTTTATCGACTGCGTAATTGGGCTCCCTTTTTTTGTGATCGACACACTTCTGCAGGAGGCCAACTGCTCATGTCTCACTTGTTGTGTCGTGATTCTAGTGAGTCGACCGTTTCCAAGATTTCTTAGATCTTGCTGATCTATCTTGACAGGGACTCCGCTACCGGGTACAGGCACTGTCAACTCAGAGAACTATTGCTACTTCTCATACGAACCTGTTAACTTCGATGGAAGCGCCCGCTATTATCATATCAAATAAGCGACAGAAAGAAATATCAAGATATGAGGACTGCCAAGTGATGTTGGGAGCGTTCGTGCAGAGCAACTGCAAGTGTCCGAATTTGGCATCTCGAAGAAGCCAAAAGGGCTTTGCCACGAATCTCTGCGCTAACCTGTGCCAACTAGATGAAAGTTCATGCGTCTGATCAATGCTGCTTATCCACTACTTTGGGTGTCTTGCATGTCTTTGGAAATACGTCGTAGTATGCGCATAGCTGCCTGACTTCCTCTTGGCTTTGCTGCGGTACGCGAGTTCGATTGTTGATACTTTTTCCGCCTAGCTGATACGATAATGCCGCCAGTCAAGCCCGTGAGGGTATTCAGTCGGAAGCGGAGTTATGCCGAATGCATCCGATGGCGGTGTGTCATGTGAGATAATCACGTCGATTAAGAGTGCATGTATTCCTCAACGTCGCTAATATATCTCCACTGTTCCCCCCTTCTATAGAGATGGAAACACCTCGATAAGGGCAAGGCTTTAACGTTTACTATTTGAAAGCTCCAGTCAAGAAACACAATTTCCATGGCGTTATGTGCACAAAAGGCATCATCAAGCGAGTTCGTTTCGATTCCGTCACCCCACCTTGCGAATCTTCATACTCCTATAGAGAATAGTCTTTCAAAAAGGCCCTTCAATACTTTCACTGGGCAATACAAACTAATACACTGAGTTGAGTCTAGGTCCTCTATACCTCTTGTTCGCGTACCCAAACCAATTCGCGACAGAAAAGAGACCCATAACGCCGAGAACCACGCAAGCATAATCTGCCTTTGAATTAGCAAGGAATGGCTGTACAGTCGTAATGGAACAGTTAGCTCACTCATATTCGAAGCCGAGACAGGCATAACAACAGGAAAGTCATAGAACACCAGCGCCAATAGTCCCAAGAAAATCGTCAAAATGTTGGCAGCGGCACCAATGAGGGGCGGCATGTTGAACTTTCGCCGCGGCAGTACTCGACGAAAAGCCGCCTCTCCTTGTGACCGTTGATATAGAGCTAGGGCGGCTGGAAAGGCAAAGCTTACTTGCTGTAGAATTAGGCCGGTAGCGACAAGAGCATTGAAAGCCGTCGAAGACGCTAGAAATATGCAACCGAGAGCGAAGATGAGCGCCCAGTTGACGAGAAGTGCGTTGACTGGCACGCCCATTTTAGGGTGGATCTTGCAAAGGAATGGGGAGAATACAATGGCATTGTCACGAGCGAATGCCCAAGTGAGTCGACTGGCCGTCTGTAGTGCTCCCGTACAAGCGAAGCATCCGCAAGAAGAGAGTACAATCACGAACGTTGTTGCTGCTGCGCTGGATCCAGTTGCCTGCGACCAAATCTCGAGAATAGGCAGCCTAGTGTAAGCTCATGTCAGCTCTGCAAACTTCCTATGCCTGCAACACAGATTACCGCCCCGCGTGACTTGAAGCTAGGTGTTATTGATTCGGGCCTAGACACTTAGGTTCAGAGAAAATGGGGGCATACGGTGATGAGAGCACAGGCTCAAGATCTGTGAAGCTGTACAGCATAGCTACGCTGAATGTAAAAGCCGAAACAAACCCAATAGTTATCGTTGATATAAGTGCTTTCGGTATTGCAGATGAAGCATTGGTGCATTCCTCGGCCAAGTGTATCGCACCATCGAGGCCGGAGTAGATGAAGTTAGGGTTAAGTAGACCGGTCAGAAAGACTATGCCCTTTGACGACCAACCACTCTCATTAACGAACGTGGTCCACACAAAGGAATCTTTCTGTTTCCGTCCCGAGCGCGCCAAGCATGTGACCGTTATTACGAAGAAGCCTGTCAAAGAAAGAAAAACTATGAAATCAGGTAGTCAGCCCTTGCACTGTCTGGAGATGGTCTGCGAGGTGCAGTAATTAACCACAGTACCTACAGCCAATATCGTGGACCCAAGCTGTCCGTTTCATCAGGAAAATGTTGTACACTGTAAACGCGATGTTGAATGCCTGGAAGACTAGAAAGATATGCCATGTTTCTGGGATATACGTAGGATCGAGGTACGATGCGAGCGAAAGAATTATGACTGGCATTTGAATGATGAAGCCCGCTCCATTGGCAATCCAACCTAGGAAGTTGATACTGCCGCAACAATAGCTCTAAAAAAGCGCACACGTCAGCAACAGACGGAAATTGAGCCACAAAAACTCTTACCAGTCCACGGCTGTACCGCTTGGGTGCTAGGATGCTGGTCCAGTGGTATTGTCCCCCGGCGGTAGGATAGACGGATGCGATCTCAGCCATGCTCAACGCACATGCGCCTCCTAACACGAAAATGAGGACGATGCCATAGAGCAGGGTGACGGGCCCTCCAGAGCTGATTGAAATCACTAGCGTGGCTGCAACTGCGGACCAGCTGTTGCAGATGTTCCATCCTAATCCAACGATAGCCAAAGGCCCAATGTCTCGTTTCGCCAGCGACTGGAGCCCTAGGCGAGACAGGTCGGCGTCTTCGTCAGAAGTAGTAGGAGTTGAGGCACCTGCCAATGCGAAAATTTCCCGTAAGATTAGTCGAATGCCTATTTTCAAGACGATTCCGAAAAATGACGAACCTTGTTCAACTTTGCCATGCTCCATTGACTTTCCAGTCGAGTTTTCTTTAGGTGCGACGCGTCTAGGGGAGGGTGTAGGCAACGTCATGATGTCTCTATCACGGCCGTCCATCTTCTATGGATCCAAATCACAACGAAAACAGACAAAACCACAAGTTTCACCGATCGTACGACGCGTATCTTAAGCAGTTTTGGAGTTCGAATAACGGTCATTTATGCGAGCAGCTCGTATAAGGATCCTCGCTACGGTACAAGTCGAGACTGAGACAAAGCGGCAAGTGGTATTTTCCCCGTCACACTGCAGACTCAAATGCAGTCAGCGTCGTGCTTCGCTTGCACGCCCGAAGCTCGTCGCGCTCTGATTCGCGCACCGCAAGACAATAACCGCGGCTCAGATCATCCGCAGCTAGTGTGATGCACAAACAGAGGCACAAACAGTAGGCATGGCACCAGACGTGCAGGAATTCATTTAGCCTTCTTGGTATCACAAGGATTATGTCTCTGTCGAGGAGAAGAAGAAACTCGAGGAGGTCGCCAAAATTTCTTGGTCAATTGAGACAAGACTTGTTCACGGGCATGTTGTTGTATGCACATTGGTCTTCGTGCTTGCCATCATCTCAATGTCGGTGAAATGATCATGTCTTCCGGTGCAATTTGAGTTCGATTCCTCAGGGCATGTAAGCCAAGATTATCCATTGCGAGATACGTTTTCATCTTTAGCAGCTATGTGGTGTATCTCAAGGTACAGTGAATCCTCGTAAACCGATGGATGTGTCCTCAACGTTGATCGACGGAATATCAATAAATAAGGTGATTTACATGAAAGACGAAACGATCGTAGCAACTAGCAAGCCAACAAAAAGACCCGCGAACGACGATCTGTGTTGAGTCGATGAACTTGGTCTATTTCCGAAGCTTTCGGGCGACCGGCTTCCAGCAGTAATGTCATTAGCGCGAACGCAGCGGAAGACCGTGTAGTTTGAAACCGCGCTCCCTCCAGTATAAATGTAAGAGAGCATTACGGGCCAGACCTGTGTCACCGCGTAGTCATAGACCTGTCTGGTATTACTATCGTTGCCGGGAATGTTGTAGGGTGCAGTTGACTGAAATAGCGTGTGCGAAGAGGCCGAGGCGTTTGAGATGAACTCCGTTGTGAGGTTTCCTTAGATTCTGAGTCAACATCCTTGCGTCAATTGGCATTCAAGGAGTCACTTACTTCTTTCTGCCGTTGTATAAGCCATTGAGTCGCTACAGCTCGCCGGAATGTCGAATCCGATGCCGTACAGCGAAGACTCCAAAGAACTATCGCACTGGACCTTCGCTGCAATTTCTTTGAGATCGTCGATACAATTTTGTGGGATGACGCCACCACATGAGCCTTGGATATCATCATTGAGCTTCTTGATCTTGTTCTCAGTCCAGCTCATCTGCCACCAAACATATGAGCAGATACGGTACCCGTCAGTTGCGTTTCCTCTTTCGACCGGATTGCTTGAGGAGTCAAGACTAATTTTTGATGGGTTCGAATTGCTCACGGTTCCCCCACTAACGTTTGTGGCAACTGCAACGTCGATGCTCCACCCGTTTCCGTGGCCGAACTCATTGTTTGTTGGAGTCTCTGCAAGTGGCTTCGACACATCGATGCCGAAGATTGGCCAGCTTCCCGTGGCATTTGGATTCAGAAGGCTCTCCGTCAAGATGGAGGAGCTATTCTGTTCCACAGTATCGGCACGCGGCCTGAGATAGGAAACTTGGGACTTGGGTGCATAGCTCCCGTTGACTAGGCTAAGCAACCAGAGGATGACGAGAGAGTTTGTGGCATATGCCATATTTCGAACCGACCTAGAAACTGGGAATTTCTGGGAGCAACTCAAAAGTGGCTGTGAGACAAATTTCGAGACGATTCCAGACTTGCACCAGGGGGATAAGTACTCAAACATATGTGGCGGATACCCTTCGCCATGAATCTACTCTCGTCTAAGTCAAATGACATGGGCCAAGGTGCCGCACTTTTCACTCGCGAGACAGTAATGAGCGGCAAAATTGCCGCTCAGGCGAGCAAGAAAAAAAAGCCAAGCTCTGATCATGTTGGCGCTCTCATGATTGGGTGCTAGCGTTCAAAGGATTTTAGCATCCCTTCGGGTGCGCTATCGTTCGTCGCTAGCCGTTAAAGAGCTAAATGGAATGACATTCTTCCCTGTACTTTGTCAAAGAAAAATCCACGCCTACGTCACTCGAAGGGTTTGGGCTCGGTAGTGTAGATCCGAGGTCTATCAATCAAGAGGAAAGATGGTAGATTGTATGTAGTCATCTTCGTAGAGACATCCGTGTTCTCCCTTGCAACCTAGGTACAGATGGTGGATGCATCAACACCAATCTTTTCTCCATAAGCCACACACATCCAAACCCACCTATTCTTCATTCGTTCCTTTTCATCCAGTCCATCAACTCCGACCAGTCAATACACTGATGTTCCGTGTCGAAACCCGTGACGCCGTCCACTACGACGTTGGCAACCTCAATCGTGAGATCCTGTCCAAACATTGTTAGCACTCACCAACAAAAGTCATTCCAGTCAGAAGAGTGTACTAACAGGTCTGCACATTATAACTTGACGCAGGAGGTCAAAGCAGTGTCCGAGATGATCCATGTCGTGCGATGCATTGAGCTCCTCCGCCTCGCTTGCATAAATCTTTTCGTTGCTAGAATCCGTGTCCATCTTCTCGTGCCCTAGATGTTCCATTGTATTATTACGTGCCTCGTAAAGTGCTTTTCGTAGCATATCCAGGCAGTGAATTTGATGGAAAACCGCCACGCAGCTCTCCGTTGGCGCCAGTGTCGGGTGCGTGAAGAAGCCGCCGTTTTGCGGGAGAAGGGAAGACCACGCAGCATCCACCTCGGGCGACGGTGGCATTGCGTAAGCGTAGTCTTGCTGGAAGACTCGTGTAGACGTTTTCACTATTGCTCACCCTCAGCTCCTTTCATGCTTTTCCATGGCAACTCGCATTTACTTACGACGAATCTCCGACCTGAGTGGCTCGGCTCCAAAGTAGACGGGCCGTATCATGAGAATTGGCGGCAAGCAATTGCTGACGCCAGCCACGAAGACCAACAGGAGAACATACGTGAGGTGCAGCTTTCCACGGGCCAAATGTTGCTTGGGCCAAGTTTTCGTACTCTCAGTGCTGTCCTCTCCCTGCCCGAGCTTGGTGTATGACGAAAAAGAGGCCATCATCTCTTCACAACGTCGCAACGTGAGACATACTCAATAATGGGCTTGACAGCATAAGAGTAGCCAGCCTTTCAGCTTGAATGAACAACACAACACCTCCCGATAGCAAGGACGGAGAGCTGGAGATGTGCGGGAGTGTGTTCGACTCTCCTCCTCAGTCGGTATGGGAAGCAAGTTGAGAGCCAGCGCTTCTTTAGTACTTGCATGACCCGTGTCAACATCCCTCGTTCCCTGTTAACTGCGTCACGCTGGAATTGAAACTGTCAGAGCTCACTCCCGTCTCACCGGTATGTAAGCTTTTTCATCAATAAACTCAAAAGACTCCCGGTAGTTCAGATGGTTACGAATCACAGCAGGAGACATGTGGAACTCTCCCTAAGCGATGCTGGCATACACCCCTTAGGCTTAGTAAGTTGAGAAAAACCTAGTGAAGGAAATACATTTCCGACGCGAAACCCAGGTTACCTAATACGGCATGAGATCCGGAGAATAAACCTTCAGGCACTACATCTATTGACTCCACGATTAACTTAGGCATAAAGCTACTTCCATTACCCTTAAGAGGTTTTCGTATGCGGAAAATAATCAAGCCTGAAGCGGTAATAGTGCAACTTAGTAGAACATAAGTCGGAACACCCCCATTCGGCTACCCCCCCTATTCGGCCACCCTAAAAATCCCTCCTAACCTCCCTAATTAAAATCCTACCCTTAATTTATAAACTACTATAATAATTATAATTATTATCTAAATAAATTTCTTTTTAATATATATATTTTTTATCATATTATAATATTATATATTAAAAATAAAGTTATTTAAGCGCTCGAGGTAATTAAAAATAATACTTTAATTAGGAGGGCTTTAATTAAGTTCGGGATTTTAAAAAATATATTTTAGAATTATTAACGAGGTTAATAAATTAAAATAATTATTTTTATAAACTAATAAAGGCTTTTTTTTTAATAAAAAAATAAGCTAGCTAAATAAGTTCGTATTTAATATACTTTAAGAGTTATATTAACTTATAAATAAGTTAGAAAATTTATTAAATAAGTATTATAAGCTTAAAGGGATAATTGTTTTTTTAAAAAGAGATAGATAAATACTTTTTTAAAATAAAACTTATTTATTAAGGTTTAGAAAAGTCGTTTTATAAATTTAAAACGTATCAATAAAGTATTTATTAAAGTAATTAGGCCTTAGTTTTAATTATTTAATATATTAAAAATTAAGGATATTAAATAGGTTAATAAATATAATATAAATAAAATTAGTATTTTTAAAAATAAGGGATTTAATAAGTTAGTTTTAAATATAACTAAGACTAACGTAATATTAAAAAAAGAGCTTAAATTACGTTCTTAAATTTTTATTATTAAATATATTTTTATTAATAATAAAGTTATTAAACTATTACTAATTTATAAAAAAAAGTCGGTTTAATAATAATAGTTCTTTTTTAATTTTAAAAATTTTAATAATTAGGAGTTTATAGTAATAAATAATAAGTAGATTATAAACTAAACTATCTTTATATAGTTAAAAATAGTCTTTTTATTATAAACTAAGCCCCCCCTAACTAGAGGACTTAACTTATAATTAGACCCTCGATTATTAATTTTAAATAATTATAAGAGTTATATAATAATAAAATTTATATAAAAATATTATATTAATAACGTTTATTTATTATTTTTATTATTATATACCTCTTATATTTTTTAATTATTAAATATAGCTATTTTTAGTTTTATTAAAACTAATTATAAAAAAGAGCTTAGTAAAGAGGATATAATAAATAATTTTATTATTATTAAAAATAGTATTTCTTAGCTTATTATATTATAACTTATTTATTTAGTTTAATAAGGGATAATATATAAAATAATTAAAAAATAATTAGTTTATAGCTATTTAATATAGTTATATTTTTTAATAATTTTATAATATTGTTTAGCTTAGTTATATTATTAAATAATATTATTAATACTAAATAAATAATTATTAATATTATTAAAGTTATTAATTAAACTTTTATAATATTTATTATTAAATAATTAATTTTTAAAAAAGCTAGCGATTTTTATAAATAATTAAAGTTATTTATAAAGCTTAGTCTTAATTATAATACTTAACGTCTATTTTTTTATAAAATTAAAAAAGCTTTTAATAAAAAGTTTTTTTTATTAATTCTATTTTAATAATAAGTTTAAGTTTTAAAAATTAAAGTTAAGTATATAGTTCTTGAAAAAAAAAAGAGTATTTAAATAGATTTAAATACTAAGTTTATTAATATTAAGGATATAAAAAAGGCTTAAGAAGATATTAATAAGCGTTTAATTAGTTCTAATTAAATTATAAAAGTCGAATTACTTAATAAGGGTAATAATTATATTATAATAATAATAAAAAGTAGTTAATTAATTAACTATAGTTAATAATAATATTCTTAGACCTATTTTTAATAGGGTGGCCGAATGGGGGGGGTGGCCGAATGGGGGTGTTCCGACTTATTTAAGCGGTGAATGAAGGTGTATAGAATAATAAGTAGTTGAACGTAAGTTGAAGTCTCGCCAATGATCCTTCTATTTGTCAAGCTCAGCCTATGCCCGTGCGAATTCCTAAAGACACAATGAACATGATTAGTGTTAGTTGTTGACAACCTAGTAAACTACCGACTTGCGTTTAAGCAAGCGCTCAAGTTTGAGTCAAAAACGAAAAAGCTTGTGGCTCGATGTCTCCCAGTTGGATTTTGAGGTTCACGAATGGGAACCGCGCTTCAATTAGCCAGCTAACAATGTTCAAAGGATTAAAATAGGTAAATTCCTTGGATGCATTGATAAACTTCCGCTTTACATGCAACTACTCTAATTACAGGAGCATAGTGAGCGAGAAGGGTAGAAGCATGCTAATCATTGCAGAGGCTTTTGACGAATGAACCCGTCCTGCAGAGCTTCTTCTGTTGCTTCCATACGAATCTGGCTCACGGCTTCCGTCTACGATGTTGTTGGCACGAATGCATCGGAATAAGCTATAATTCGTCCGAGTCCCTCCGTCTTCATAATTGTATGCAAGAAGCACGGGGTAGACATTAGTAAGAGCCGTGTCGTACGCATCGCGTAGGCCAGCTTCCGATCTATTCGAATAAGGTCCCCAGATGCCGAAAAGATGAGAAGAGGAGCTTTCATTCGTCGAAGTTCCGGTAGGCAAATCAAAAGTCACGTTTCCTGGCCAAGATTATTAGTCTCCGCTGTGAGGTCTGTCACGGTCAGTTGCAAGGGAGGTTAGCGACTTACTTCGGAATGACGAAGGGGATGAGAGTGCTTGAGGGCAGCTCTTAGGCTTTTCGAAGCTTCTGAAGGTGCTACACGGCTGGCGCACCAGGGCCTCTTTAGTCTCCTTGATGCACTCCTCGGAGATAACACCATTGCAGGTCCCGTTAACATCGTCTTGGAGCTTCTCCAATTCTTTGACGGTCCAGACGTTTTCAAACCAGGCAAAGGAACAGATGTCATAATTCTCAGTGTAGTTTGTTGTCGAGTTCAGGCCTTGAAAGGCATTCTCCGGTCCTTCGAGAGTTATGACTGCGGGGTTCGATACTGAAGTGCTGATGTCGTCCGCAGAAATGTTGGTCGCAACGGCGATGTTGATGCTCCAACCGTTTCCGGGGCCGTAGTCATCGGCAGGTGGATTCAGCAGTGGCTCCGTCACATCGATGCCATTGATAGGCCATGTTCCTGTGGCATTTGGGTGTGCTACTGCGTCGCGGATATTGATGCTAGTCGAATTACTTTGCCGCGCTTGTATGCGGTCAATTCGGGCGCTATCGGCTGTTGCCAGAAATGACAAGCCTGTCGCAAGGATGCCGATGAGAAACTTCATGTTGAGACTTCTCAACTCTTCTGAAAGTTTATGCAATATTTTTGCTACGTGATTTTTGATGTTATTAGGGTATTATCGTGGGCAAGGTTCGAGGATCTCTTGCAAGATGCATCATTAGTAAAGGAAGCAGATCAAGTTGAAGCTTAAGGGCGCAGGAAGGCCAGTCACTTCTTATAAGCCGCCTACTATTTCTGCCTTGACTTGAAGATCGCCAATATTGGGACTTTGGTATTCAGCAATGACGTACCTACGTTGGTGTTTATGGCAATTCTAGTGGTCAATCTCATCGCTGGGTAAGACAGAAGGATTCATGCTTGGCGACGCGGCCTCTTGGCAGTCAGCATAGGTACCGAAGTACCTTTGAAATAGTACCTAGAGGAAATGACTGTAGGATTCTTCTTTGAATTGAGGGCGTCAACTATGCCAGCCGGTTGCACTTAATGAATGGTTCAAGAGAGTTTATGTATTGGCTTGCCCAACCATCAAGTATTCGATTTAGAAACAACTACATCAAGTGGCAATTACGTAGATGCCGTCTCATGCGATATCTTCTGTAACTGATCCTTCAATTCCTCTCCCGTTAGTTCGGCCAAAGTCAATATAGCCGACTCGACCGTACTCAGAGCAACAAGTGCGGCGCCATAAGTGAGTTTCACCTCTCCAGTGCCGATCACAGCAGGGTGGTCTGAGAATTCCTGTCTTGTTGGAGAACTGGCCACCTCCACGCTCTTTCCCGCAGGAGCTTGAGAAAAGGCGTCGGCCCGGGCACTCTCACTCACCAAAAGGTCATGAGGCGTTTGCGGAGCCGCTGCAGATTCAGCAACCTTGAAACCGCCCCTGTCGCCAGAGTTGTCAGGCTCCTCAAAGTTCATATTCTTGAAATTTCTCCGGTACCGAGGCATCTCTGCAGGCAACGGGAAGAATGGCAAAGGAGTTGGAGTTGGAGTTGCCGTCGGGGCCGCAGACTTCTCCCCCTCTGCTGGATGTTCCTTGATGTAACCGAACTCGAGAAGGTCCATGGCCCATTTGTATGCCTCGTATGTGTCCTTCATCTTGGGGTCGTTCCTACTGCCCTGGTGCAGAGCATCAAACATCAGGTAAAGTGCGCGTACAACACTCTCGAGCGCCCCAACAACCCAAGCGTGGTGCGCAGAAGCTGCTTCGCCGACAAAGTATAGCTGACCACCTGCGTTCGGCTTGGTGATGGCCGGGTACAGCTCACTGAACTGGCTAGGGCCGAAGTAGGCAAATGCTCCAGCCATTTGGGGATCATGGTACCAGTCGTAAGCGTGGTGCTCAACGTACTGCTCATTGAGCATCTTCAGGGTGGCAGCGAGTTTTTTCGTGTCGTTGTGGTCGTCAGTGTGGAGGAAGGCGAGATCTCGAAGCATGACTTCCTTCAGCTCGGCCTCTTCTTTGAGGATGCGCTCGTTAGTTGCCGCGTCAAGCTCGCCGCGCGGCTTCGATGCAATCAGACTAGCTAGGCGCTGGGCTGTCTGTCCCCAGGTGTAGGAGACAAGGAGAACAGCAGGCTTGTCTCGTGGGTCGACCTCCTTATTGATATTGTAGGAAGGGTACACGCAGACCTGTGGAGCCAGATCCGTACGGGCAAGGCCGCCTTGGTCGATGTCGTACGGCGCCTCCTGCCACCACGGGGTCTTGAACTTTATGCCGACCTTGCAGGAAGCGCCATATCCCAGGCAGCGAATGGCTTGCTTGGTATCCCAGAGCAGACCAGCCTTGGAGAGGTCCATTCGGTTCATCGATCCTAACGTTGCCGAACTGAAAACCGTGAAGTAGTCTCTTGAAGGCAGTGAGTTACGGCTGATACTGTCCTTGAGCATCACGGTCATGGACGTGGTCACTTGCTCGTTGATTTGCAAGTTAGCATTCATTCCCACAACCTGGGTATTGAACCTGATAGCCGATTGGTTCTTCATCTTCTTGCGCATCTCTTCAGCAATTTTTTGAGCGCCACCGTCGATGCAAAACCAATGGTCGTTGGTCTCTTTGATCTTTGTTTCATCGTCGGTGATGTAAAAGTCGATACTCTCCAGGACAGCCTCGGTCAGGCTTTGGTCGTACCATCCAGTGCCACTAGGATCAATGCAATTAGGCCTATCCATTCATGGTAACTTCGAGGTGCGGAATAGAGAGGAGTACTTACTAAGTGGCAGTCTCCAACCACTGAATGGTGTTGTAGCTCATGTTTGCGCCGTGGGGGATTTTTTCACCGTCTTCGGCGAGGTCAAGGATTGGCCCGTTCCTTTCGGAAAGTGAGCATTTTGCATCAACTGACCGGAGAATCAGGAGGTACTCACGTTCGCAAGAATTGACGAACACTCATCTTATCACATTTCATCAGAATCTTCCAGAGCTTCTCCTCGGCTGCACGAGACATTGGTTTCTTCTTATCAATGTACTCATCGAGATACTTCTTGATGTATTTGATGAAACCTCCAATTGCTTTCTCAAAGAGGTCGCCTGGGCTGGTTTTCAGGAGGCTGGGTGGAAGGGTGAAACACTGTTAGCGATTCTGCTTAAGTCTACACCGATTCCATAACAGCTGGTGACTAACTTTTCTGGAATCTGCTTGTCTGGGGCAATGCCCACATTGAGTGCAAAAGGATCCGTCTCTGTCGAATCCTTCGGATATGGGTTGCCGACCTTGCGAACGTTGTTGAAGAGCGTTGGGCATTTATTCTTATCATCGCGCAGATAGTACTTGATCAGTCGTGGAGGATCGTTGACATGCGTGCGATCGCCCAATTTACCCTCTTTGATGCCCAGCATCTCGAAAAGGCTGAAGGTTCTAAAGTTTGTGTGTTAGTTGAGCTCATTTCCAGGCCTGAACTTCTCCATTCCATCGAGGAATCCGCAACACACCTGTCCATGATTGCATTCCTAGGGAAACGCATGGCTCCGACGTCATAGTAATCGTGGAGAACATCCTTGTTGAAGTGGTGGGTGTAGAGCCTGCCGCCGACCTCCTTTGAAGCCTCCAGGATCTCGTAGGTGATGTGAAGGTGGTCAGATCCCTTCTCTTTTGCGATGGTGTCGTTAATCCAGTCAATGGCTAAAGCTGTAAACAGTCCTGCTACTCCAGCGCCGATGATACCGACGTTGAAATATCCTGGCTTCTCGGGAATGACGCCGCCACCAGTGACCGGCTTGAGGGTCTCGGCCAATCCCGAGATAGTCGCAGCTTCTGGCTTCAACTCTCTATTGTGTGCAAGCTTGGAATAGCCGGCCTTCGATGCTTTGTAGTCGTTTTCGAGCTTCCACTGGGCCACGAACTCGGCCCATACGTATTTATAACAGACTTTTGGGGCCGTAGCAGGGGATTCGGGAGGTGCCATATTGCTAATTTGTTCCAGATGGACTAAGGTAGTTATCAAAGGAATAGGGGCAATGGGCTTTGGTCGTTGATGTTGGAACCATAGTAAATGACATTTGGCTCGGGAACTATGGGAATTTATGCAATTCTTGGTGACATGAACTTCACCTACTTATTTTGACAGTACCTTGAGGAAAACCTTCCATGACCATCCGCCGTTTGTTGATATTTAGTCTCACTCTCAGCCGCTACTAGTGCCATCCTATGCTTGCGGGAAGCAAATGCGTTGCTCGTACTTTTAACCTATCATCCAATCTGATGGACACCTGAGACAGTGACAGTGTCTATCCCACCCACAGAGGCTGGCTGAAATTTGAATAGCTGACGTTGAGAATCAACAAGCAAGCGGGCACTCTAACTCAAAGCAGTTTAACCCGCGCTCCCAGCTCTCAGCTGCGGCCCAAACTTGACCTGCATTCAGATATTTTGACTCTTACCCCGCAAAACTGGAACGACGGGGAACGGCAACCATTGAAACTTGTCCTTATCAATAGTACTCAGGGGTCGGGCCGCTGGCATGATGTCTTAGTTTCCGCCAGCCAATCGCCGAATCTAGACCGCCTCCCGCGCCAACGAGGAAGATATCGAGAACCGAACGCCGTTTGCACATAGTTAGTTGTACTCAGCTGTCTCGACCTAACCTTCGAGGGCATCTTCGAGTAACTTGGTCTCCTCAGCTTGGTGAACCTTCTTGGATCCAGTGGCAGCAGCAGCCCCAGTGCGCCTCCCAGCGTAAACAATCTTCTTACCCGCAAGCACACTCGAATTCTCAATCACAGTCTCGAGCCTATCCCGCATGTACTGCCACGCGCCTCCATTATACGGTTCCTCCTGGCACCACACAATCTGTTGCGCATTGGGGTATGACTTCAGGTTCTCCTTAACGTCGGCCCAAGGGAAAGGATGGAGTTCTTCAATGCGCGTGATGGCAACGTCCTTGATGCCCTTTGATTCGCGGTATTTGTGCAGTGCTGCGTAGACTTGACCACTGCAAAGAATGACGCGGTCGATCTCTTCGCGGGGGAGGATGTTACCCCGTTCGTGTTCCGGATCCTCGAGGACCGGCTGGAAGGCTGATATGCCAATCAGGTCAGAAACGGGAGATCTGGCGATGGGATGTCGGAGAAGAGACTTGGAGAAGAAAATAATCAGAGCTGGGAGTGTTAGCAGATAATTCCAAGCCAGCCCCCTCTCACGTGAACATGCACTTACGCTTCTTCTCAGGGGAATAAACCTGCCTCCTCAACGCATGGAACAAATTCGCCGGCGTCGTCATACACACAATTCTCACATTTCCCTCCCTCCTCGCCCTCTCCAAATCCTCAGGCCAAGCCCGCCCGTCCTCGCTTCCCAGCTCCAGAAACCTGCCCAGCCTAGCAGAAGAATGCTCTGGCCCTTGGCCGTCATACCCATGCGGCAAGGACATGACGAGGCCAGACTCGAGCATCCATTTCGCCTCTCCCGAAGAGATGAACTGATCGACAATGACCTGTGCGTTATTCACAAAGTCGCCAAACTGCGCCTCCCACACCACTAACGACTCTGGCGCAGCGAGTGAGTACCCGTAGTCGAACCCTAGGACGCCAAACTCGCTGAGCGGAGAGTTGATTGCGCTGTATTTGCCTGCTCCTGGAGTGTCTAGGTTGTTGAGCGGCGTGTACTCGGCGTGGGTGACTTGATCGTGTAGGACGGAGTGGCGCTGGGAGAAGGTGCCTCGCTCAACGTCCTGACCGCTGAGGCGAACGGACTTGCCGTCTTGGAGGAGGGTTCCGAAGGCTAGGGCTTCGGCTGTGGACCAGTCGACTATGCCCTCGTCAAAGGCTTGCTTCTTGGCGGCAAGGATGCGTTGGAGGTTGCGGTGGAGGTTGAAGCCTTCTGGGACGCTGGTGATTGCGTTTGTAATCGTCGACAGTGCAGCTTCGTCGATCGCATTCGCGGATGTAGTAATATTCTCAGCGGCTGAAGTCAAATCCGAAGAAGCAGCGTCCACAGAGCGTTCAGCTGGCTGCTTGCTTCTCGCCAGCTTCTTCTCTAGCTGCTCCCAGACCCAAGTCTTCTGCTGCTCTGCCATTTCAGCAGACAACCCGCCCTCACTGATCAACTTCTCAATATAGAGGTCCATCAATGATCTCTGTTCGGCAATTCTTTTGTACATCTCAGGCTGTGTGAACCTGGCCTGGTCAATCTCGTTGTGTCCGAACCGCCGGTAGCAGACGACGTCAACGACGATATCCGAACGGAACTCGGCCCTCCAGTCCGCAGCCAGCTTGCTGATGAACACAACGGCTTCCGGGTCATCAGCATTGACGTGGAAAATCGGGGCCTCGATGTACTTGGCCAAGTCGGTGCAGTGTGGCGTTGACCTGGAATCTGGGGAGTCGGTAGTAAACCCGATTTGATTATTCACAATGATCCGGACTGTGCCGCCGACTTCATAGCCCTTCAGGGCCGAGAGGTTGAGCGTCTCGTACACAGGCCCCTGACCCGAAAATGCGGCGTCACCGTGGAGAGCCAAGAACATCACCTTGGACTGATCAACGTCGTCCTTTAGATGCTGTACAGCCTTGGCCTTTCCTTGGGCAACCGGATCAACAGCCTCCAAGTGGGACGGATTTGGCAACATAGAGATGCCAACCGTCTTGCCGCCAGCAGTCGCCCTCTCGCCCTCCATGCCAAAGTGGTACTTGACATCCCCAGTCTGCCCCTTGGTCGTATCAAACGCCTCCGTGCCCGCAAACTGACGGAATAGCGTCTCGAAGTCTTTGCCATACACCGTGCTCATAAGGTTCATCCTTCCGCGGTGACAGCTTCCGATAACGATATCCCGCACACCGTGCCCTTCTGCGCAGCGGTCAATGAGCGCGGCTAAGCCGGGAGCCAGCCCCTCTGCGCCATCTAGGCCGAATCGCTTCTCGTTGGGAAACTTTGCCGCGAGGAAGTGCTCGAGGGACGTTGCCCAGATCAAGTTGTCGAGGATCTGCTTCTTCTCTTCAGGGGAGGGGGGCGAGGTATGATACGCTTCGATGCGCTCTCGGAGCCATTGGCGTTTGGCGGGGTCGGAGACGTGGTGGTATTCGACTCCGATAGAGCCGCAGTAGATCTTTTCGCAAGTGGCGATGATATCGCGGAGCTTCATCGTCTTGTATTCTTGTGCAAGGTGGGGTAGAAGCTCTGGACCTAGGACGATTTCGCGGTCCAAGTCTGCGGCGGCGAAGCCGTACTTGCTCAAGTTTGTTGTGCTCGGAATATCATCGTGTGGCTTGACTGTCGCGTTGCCAAGGTCGCCAAGGGGGCTGATCTTTGCGGCTGAATGGCCATATTGCTGGAACGCTCGAACGATATTCTGTGTCTTCAGAGAGTCGACAATGTGGCTCGAATCCGCACCGAGAGACGATTTGATGGCCGGTGTGTGCCTGGGTGAGATTATGCCTGGCGGTGGCTGAAAAGCTTGCGTCGAATGTACCGAGGGGTCTTCCATGTTGCGGAAATATGTATGCCATGATACATGGACGTTTTCGGGGTCCTTCTTCCAGGAAAGATACATTTCGTCGACGTAGTTCGCTGTTCCTCCCTGAAGGAACGAGTCTATGGGGCTCTGAGTGGTTGTAGATCGTTAGTTCTGGGGGCATGACCGAGGAACTACTGGGCAAAATCTTACCGGAAGAACCCTTGGTTCCTCTGCTTCTACTGCCGTAGCATAGGATCTACCCTTCGAGGGCTCGAGTTTACATGATCTGGTAGAGGTGAACGTTCGGCCATTCCTTGACCCTCCGATTCCGTTGAGAGGGGAAGAGATACTGCAAAAGCGCGAAGAAGGAAAGAAAGACGGCTTCGTGTGCAAGAGTTTTTGTTGTGTATGGCCTTTACAGATTGAGTAGGCGGATCGAATCATCATCGTGTCGGTTGTTCAACTGGTAATGGGTATCAGCTTACAGAATGGTATAATCTGGAACCTTGATGATTGACAGGAGAATCAAGTTGAGGGCAATGTGACATGTCTCCGTTCTCGATGCTCGCTCTTTCGATACGCGGCTTACACGCGGGGAAGATCTGTAACTAACCCCATGCCGATGGCGCACCGATCTCTATGCCGTCGTTCGAGTTGAAAGTCAACCGAGTAGGCTAATTAGGCAGGCTATCGGCGACTCGGAAGTACCGAAGACAATTGGCCTCGATCTCAGGCCAATATCGAGGCGATGCTCCTCGCAGGCAATTGCTTTGCTCGTTGTTGGCCTGGAAGTGATCAAAAAAGCTGCCCTCGGATATCGAAGCCGAGACTTTTGCGTGGATCCGCCGTGACACCAAAGTCAGCCTCCTCCGGCTTCTACACCCGGATAGCCAGCAACGACGGCAATATATCTCTTTTATGTCAATTGGATAGTCCTGAAAAGAGTATGGTGTTCGGATCGCAGTTTTCTAGATGCCAGTGGATGGCATGATGGCAAGTGTGGTTGAACACTGACTCCACTATCGCCCCTAATGCTACCTTGTTAGATGCCTGGTATCAACAGCCCAAGTTCCTTCAGACCTCTATGAGCCAAGAGTGGTTGAAGTTGAAAGTACTTGCAATGAAGAACGGGCAATGTGCTGGACGCTGGATTCTCCGGATTATCTATGACCGAGCCCCCATCTAAGATGTCTAAGATGCAGCAATTGTACGCCCCCAATGCCCGCACAGCAACGCTGTCAATCCAATCCCACTCCACCCATTTACAAAGTAAAATACAATTCGGCACGATGTTACACGAAACCATAGCCGTACGCAGTCTATGCCCCTTCTCTCGCACACTGTCTCTCCTCAACGCAAATAAACAGAGACCTTATTCCATGTTTAGAGAAGAAGGCTGGAGGGGTCCTCGATGTAACCCTTGACGGCGCCAAGGAAGGCCTCTGCCTCGCGCTGCTCAATGAGGCGGTGGTCGTAGGTAACGGTGATGTACATCATGGGGCGGATCTCTAGCTTGCCGTCAACGACGACGACGCGCTCCTTGATGCCGTTCATGTTGAAGATGGCGGCCTGGGGGTAGTTGATGACAGGGGTTCCGAACATGGAGCCAAAGATGCCGGGGTTGCTGATGGAGAAGTTGCCGCCCTCGAGGTCCGGCATGGCGAGCTTGCTCTTGCGGGCCTATAATTTAGTTTTAGAAAGTCTGTACTTCTTTACAGCATAATCATAATGCGGTACTTACCTTGTCGGCCAGCTCAGCAACACCACGCTCAATACCAACGATGTCCAAGCTCTCCACGTTACGCAGCACAGGCGTAACCAGACCCTTAGGCGCAGACACAGCGATGCTGATATCAACGTAATCCCTGTACGTGATGATCTCCTTCTCGGTATCCATGGCGGCGTTGATCTGGGGCACGCGCTCCGCGGCCAGACACGTCGCCTTGGTGAAGGCGCCCATGTAGCCGAGCTTGACACCGTAACGCTTCATGACCGCCTCCTTGTTCTTGGCGCGCCAAGCCATGAGGTTGGTCATGTCGACTTCCTCGATGCACGTCAGGGAGGCCGTCATGTTTTGCGACTGCTTGAGCTTCGTGGCGATGGTCTTGCGCATGCGCGGCAGCTTCTCGACGCGCTCGCCGCGGGAGAAGGAGCCCGTCGCGCCAAAGGGAACCTCGGACGCGGGTTTTTGTTGTTGCTGCTGCTGTTGGGGAGCAGCGGCGGACTTGGATGGTGCCGCGGGCGCGGGCTTGCTCTCCTCCTTCTTGGGCGCCTCGGGCTCCTTCTTCTGCTCCTGAGCCGGCGCGGCGGCGGGCTCGGGTTTGCTTTCGGGCTTGGACTCTTCCTTCTTTTCCGGCTGGGACTCCTCCTTCTTCTCGGCGGGTGCGCCGCCCGTCTCCATGCGCGCAAGCTTCTGTCCGACCTCGACGGTGTCGCCCTCAGCAACGAAGAGCTCGACAATAGTGCCCTCCTCCGGGGCGTTCACGGCGACGTCGATCTTGTCCGTCTCGATGCTGGCGACTTCCTCGTCGGCCTCAACGCGGTCGCCGACCTGCTTGCCGATGGAGGCGATGGTGCCCTCGGTGATGGACTCGGCCATTTGCGGGACGGTGATGATGACCTCGCCATGCTGGATACGGGTGGTGCTGAAGGAGCGGTATTGGGAGGAGAGGGCGGGGAAGGCGTGAACGATCGGTCTTGAGGTGGTGCGCGTCGCGGTTGTGAGGGATCTCGTCTTTGTGGATGTCGGTTTTGATGCTGCGCTGGTGATCTGGGTGCGAGCTGCGGATGCGAGTCTGGAAGAGGCCGCGGAGGGCTTGGCCAGGCGGCCGACGGCTTGAAGCTGAGAGCGCATCATCTTGGCGGTTGTAGGTAGAGGAGAGGAGAGGAGCGTGGTAGTTGAGCGCCCGGCGATCCTCGACGACAAGTCTGGGTGTTTCTGGTGGTGTTGAATGAGTCTTTGACCCTGGTTAGAGAAAAGGGACTCGGAAAATCGTTGTGTAAATTTGACGTTGGAGCTTTGCTGGGCGCTGTGACAGAATCACCTGCCGCTTTAGCCTCAGAGATCAACAGCTCCGTATGGCAAGCACCACAAAGCAGGTCACTAGACTATCTCAATAATCTCTGGTATGTATCACGGCCTGAATTTAGTTTACTACAATCTTCACATACATCGATTTTGTGAAGGTCTGTTTTCTCATTTGGGACCTTGCGTTGCCTGCAGTTCTCCTATGAGATCAATTGGAGCTTTGGGACTGTCCATTCTCTCAAAATGACTTGATTATGCCCCTCACTTCCTTTTCATGGAGTAAACTTGTGACGGTCAAAGATAGAAAAGACGATTTCAAATTGGAAAGTCATCTATTTGCTTAACGATCAACATTGCCAATACCCGCGAGAGAGGTAGCCCAAATCTCTCAATTCGTAGACCAGCCCCAAAAGCAGCGGCGCATTCGATGGCCCCCGGTAACCCTCTGGGAAGAAATCGGAAAGGCTCCGCATCCGCATCCCGGGACGAGCTGCCCGAGTGGATCCGTAGCTTGCCAAACACCGCCGCATCATTGGCCAATTCATCACCCGCAGTTGACAGCCGAAAGACAGCGCCAAAGGGATACGTACCGCCTTGCAGGGGGTTTCGGCTTCTCCTTCCTCCCTTGCGGCTTACCCGGCCAGACGGCTTCTTCTCCTCCGACGTCTCCTTTCTGCCTTTTCCCCTGTGGTTTCTTGCGGTGGATGATTTCTGCGCCAGCACAGGCAGGTAGCAACTTTAGTCATCGCACATCTGCCAGACAGGGGTCTCTGAATCTGCAGACCACGTCGCAGCGAGGGGAAAAAAAAAAAAGAAAAGTCAATTGATGGCCCGAGCTCCTCCATTCACATGCACCCAGAAAGTGAAAACTGAGGTTATTCACAACCGTGACGTGACTCGCGCGATTTCATACCCCTCCAGCCAGCACAATGGCTGCCAAAGATTTACAAACAAGCGGCAGCAGCCAAAGAGTCGCATACCTAACCCTCTACAATACCCTCTTCGCAGCACTATGGGCATCGATCCTCCTCACCGTCATCTCAACCGCTTTGTCCGAGGGTAAACTCGCAGTGTACGCTGCAGCAGAACCTCGCTCGCGATGGGTGCAGACGCTCACTCTCATTGAAGTGGTTCACTCAGCCGTCGGTGCGTGACTCCAACTCCGTACCTCCACCATTTTTCAAACTACACTGCTGGATACATCATGCCAGGGACATGAGACATCACGCACGCAAGACCAACTTGAACTAACCCGACCCCCAGGCCTCGTCAAATCCCCCGTAGGCACAACAGCCCTCCAAGTAGTCGCCCGCACAATCATAGTCTGGATGGTCTGCTACAGCTTCCCCGCCGCCACAGCCTCCTCAACAGCCTACGTAACCCTCCTGCTGTCCTGGGCGACGGCTGATTCCATTCGCTACGCCTACCTGGCTCTGAACCTCCACGGCAAGGCGTCTGATGCGCTCGTCTGGGTGCGGTACGCTGACGCAAGCCTTTATTTTTTGGTGTCTTAGTTGACTTAGGACGGTCGAAACTGACTATCATGATTAGGTACACCATGTTCTACCCCCTATACCCAATCGGCATCGCCTCGGAATTCTGGCTCCTCTACCTCGCCGTCGAACCCGCTTCGCGCATCAGCGCTCTCATCCCGCCTCTGTTCTATTTTTGCTTGCTGTTGTATATCCCCGGTAAGCCCTACTCCCACCCCCTTATTGGGACTTCCCATAACTTGCTTCCTCGATGCTGATACACGCATCTGGGTCTAGGGTCTTACACCATGTACACTTACATGATCAAGCAGCGCAAGAAGACTCTCGCAAAGACGAAGAAGACGCAGTAGTCCGGCAAGTCTCTGCCTTCATAGAAGCGATGGACTTCCCTCGAGGTAGATGCGCTCTGAGAAGGCAGGTACTGGTAACGGATGGACGTAAACAAGATAAACTTGCAACTACCTTAAAATGTCGGCCAAACTCTACCTTGAGCGTGAATCCGAACAAAATGCGTACAAAGCTCCAGCCATCTTCCATCAATTCTCGGTAAGAGACGCACATCTCGCGCTCAGTCTTACAAGTTATAACGGAACGCCTTGTCCTGCACATCCGTCAAGTCAGAATCAACCGCAACACCCATCTGCACCGCCTCCGCGCCTCCATCATGGCCACCAACATCATACTCATATCTTCCCTCCGCGGCAAGCCGGTCTCTCGTCGCATTCTCCCTCTTCAAAACAACCCCATACACAGCATACGTGATAATCAACCCCACCCAACTCGCCATACTCAGTATACACCCCTTGGTATACCGCGGCGCATCCCCCTCCGTCCAGGCCTGCGGGGAGACAATACACCCAACGCAGTACACGATAAAGAACCCAGCACTAACCACACTCTTCTTGGTATTCCCCTTGACATTGGACGCCATCATTGACGCCGTGGAGCTTAGGAGAGAACTGCAGCAAGCCGCGAGCCAGGTGCTTGCCACAATGCCCCACTCTGCGCCGTGCAGTGGCAGCGCGAGCAGCATGGCGGATCCGAGGAGCGGGACAAGCGAGAGGCCGATGGAGGTGTAGACTCGCGTGCCTGGGAAGAATCGCGGGATGAGGGCGCTGGCCCAGATTGTCACGAAGCTGATTGCGCCACCGGGGAGGCCGACGAGCATTGTTGTGAAGGGGGAGTAGCCGAAGCCGTTGATGACGAGAGAGGAGAACTGTTTAACCAAATGTCAGGTGTTTTCGCTGGGAAAAGGATAAGGAAAAGCACTTGCCTTGAGAATGGGAGTCGTCAGTGTGATGCAAAGCGCCATCATGAGATACAACCACGTCGTGGGCTGCCTGAACGCCTCATACATCTGTTTTGTATTGAACTCCGCGCGGTCTCTGGTCCCACGATCAAGGGCCAGCCTCCGCGTCGCGATCTCCCTCTCCCTCTCGTTTAGGAACCACGCTGTAGTTGTATCCCTCGGCATAAGTAGGCAAAAGGCAACGCCGCACGCCGCTGTCAACCCGCCGCTGACAAGGAACATGACCCTCCACTTCTCCAGCGCCATTTTAGCGGCGCCGCCGATCCCGTACATCATCAGCGCGCCGAGAATTTGCGAAACACCTGACATGGACACCCACGTCGCGACGCGGATGGGGTGCTCGCGACGGCGGTACCAGTTTGATGTGATGATGATGAAGGCCGGGGAGACGGCGCCTTCGGCAAAGCCGAGAAAGAAGCGAGCCGCCGCAAGGCCTGAGAAGTTATGCGTGGCGCCGAGGGTCATCTCGACGGCACCCCAGGCGATGATTGTAACACCGACGAAGAGCGTTATAGGCAGACGGCCCATGAGGTAGGCGGCGGGATACTCGGAGCAAAGCTGGCCAAAGTAGAAAAGGGAAATAATCCAGGAGAAGTCTTGGCCTGAAAGGCTGAGGTCGTTGCGGAGGCCAAAGACTGAGGCGTAGTTGATGGACTGCTTATCGAGATCTATCGGGGAGTATGGTCAGTCCGAAGGCTCGTGATAATGTGGATCGAGAGATGCTCACACTGAAAGAAGTAGACAAAAGCCATCAGGGGCATTAGAACTCGGTCAAGCTTTCGAACGAGAGCAGCCTCTTCCTCGGAGCTAATTTGTTCAAATGCTACATGTTCCTCGTCTTGCTTCTTGGTCATCTCGAGCTCTTCGGCGATAACGGTTTGCGGATCCTCTTTCGTGTTCGCCATCTCGTCGTACTTCAGTCGCCAACTTCCAAGTCAATGTTGTTGAAACTCGAAAGCTATTCTTCAGTAAGGTGGCACAGCCAAGTAGTCGGCGGTTACTGTAAACTCTTCGGCCCAGTAGATTGGAGCGTGGAGGCCTAACAAGATAGTGTCCTGTCAGAAGTATCAGGTCTAGAAAACTGAAAATAAAATCGACAGCCAGGAGGAACTTAAGTAGCCCGGATGCCTGCTTCCTCGTTCTCTAGTGCTCCCAATTCCGGGGTGATTATCTGGGGAAGCGCTTGATTCATCGTGGAGCTCAGAGGATTGCGGGGTTTGCCCCAGACTCTCCGCAAGCCGGCAATCTGGAGAGGTGCAGTTCAGCGAGTCGCTCGGGATACGAAGCCAGAGTCCCCTACTATCGGCTGGCTATATCGTGTGCAAGTAGCCCGGGGCAGAGACCGCGGGTCCACTTGCCCTCGGGAACTACACCCGAGGACCTCTACATGTCAGGTTCTTCGGGCTTGGACTGATGGCGTTGGACTAGACGTGTCCGCGTTAGAACAGCTTCCTTCCACATTGACAAGTCACCGGGATACGTTCAAAATGTCGGTTTCGAGTACCAGGCTCTTTGCGGTGGACTAAATATCATTGGAGGCCGAAGGATTCAGCTATCATTGCTGCCACGGAATCTGGTTCTCTAAAGCTTCCCAATCCGCCTGTTCGACTCCAGTAAACGAGAACCCGGGGGTATGGTAGACCCAGTACAGGCTGTTCTCGCCCTCCAGAGGTATACTCGCCAAGTCAGCGCCACTGAAGCCAAAGTCGTGCTGGCCATCCATTTCCTGGACTTCCGACGTTGAATCAGTACTATCCTGGACGTTTGATAGTCCCTGGATGTTCGGTATTGCCGAACCTTCACTTGTTGATGGTCCTTCTGGAGCCGTATCACTGTTTCTGTAGCTAGTCGAGAATGAAAAGGGCTGCGCCATGAGATCCATGAATGACTCTTCGGGGGCCTGGAGCCCAGATTGATAGACAGGTAGGGCGAGATGCGAACACATCTGGTCGAGTTCTGCCAAGCGTCTGGCTGCAGGTCGATTACCCAGGGCGGCAAGGTACCTGAGAATGGCCCTTGATCCGTCGATACCTTTGTGCCCAAGACCTTTACCAGGATTTATGGCTTGAACGAGGACAAACACATATCCCACGGAGAATGTTGCGTCTAGGTCGAGAAATGCGTTCTTTGCTATGTACCAAATGCTGTCAACGAAAAGAAGCGTATCGGAGAAGGAAAGTCAGACTCACCAAGTATCTCACTCTTCCGAAGTTCTTGCAGGATGACAAGAATCTTGCTTGCTGTCTCGACACAAATCTCTGCAAGTCGTACGAGTGCAGGCCTGACACGGCTGTAGTCTTCGCGATCTGGGTCGCGACTATTTCGAGCCATGTACAATAGGATTGGCCGAACGGTATGTATTACAGCCTACATGTGTTAGTAAACGTCTTTGGGCTATGGGCAGTGACCTTCGAGTACCGAGTAGACCGAAATATGCAAGCTGGAGCTAGTTCTTGATACTGTAGTCGCGGCTTCAATGAAGGGCCGTCCTGCGACGGTTAGCCCAGAGGGCTTGATCTCCATCGAGTACTCGGATGGCATGTTCTTTTCCACTTCGTACAGGGAGTGTAGAATATCTTGGACATTATTGATGAAAGTTGTCTCAGGCTCGTCTCTTTGTGAGTAGATTGCTATCATGGAGTCAGTCCCATTCCAACACATGTGGGATGTGATGCGACAGACTGGCGGTTATCTTTCCGGTTATCCTCGCCGCTTGAACATTGACGTCCAATGCTGTGGCGGATGGGAATCCCAGCACCTCGTACGGGGACTTTGTCGTTATCACGTAGTCTTCAATGGACATGGGGAATCCGCCTGCGGCACATAACCTCCTAGGGGAACAGTTAGCTGCATGGGAGCTTGACGCCAGTACATGGCCTCACGATGGGGATGTACCTTTCTTGCATGTAGATAGACCACCATAACCTGTTCCTATGGACATTTTCCGAGCGGCGTGGATTCTGAGAATTGTTGGATCGATGCATACCATGGCTGATGGCCAGCCGTAAGGCAGTATTGGACTACACGCGTCAGCAGCTGTAACTCCCGGGCTCCCATTGTGTCTCAACTTACATGCAGATATGCATCATCTTTCCGATCCGAAATTTGCAGGTATAATGCGGTCAAAGCCATGATTTCTACCCCGATAGTCCCATGCTTGCGCAAATCACTCAGCAAAGGCGTCCTCTTTACTGCTTCCCTGAAGTACATCGTCCCCGGAAGTTCTCCGTCCTCATCATCCCGTCCCTGCAAGAGCCTCCCAACCGCAAAGACAAGCAGTGCTTCCACAATCCAGGTCTCTGTCAACCGCACATCGGCACTGGACTCGTGATACAAGATGGATAGATTGTCCGAAAAGGCACGTACGTCGAAAAGCTGCTGCGAAATACCAACGTTGAAGATGACGATGTCGAGCATCGCGTGGGCCTCCTCTTCCGGCGGCCACTGACTTCCGATCGCAATCTCTAGTGCGCGTCTGTCAATATGCGGAAGCGGAGTCGCGGCGTTGACGGTGGACCGCGGACTAGCGGTAGAGCCGGGATTGGACCGGGAAACGAGGAGTGTCTTGATCTCGGACCCGAAGGTCTCGCTCGAGGAGAGGGCGGACTCGGGTGCGATTGCTATTCGCCGGGATTAGTATCCGAGGCCCGGGAGGTCGCCTGATAGACGGTATATAAAAGTGCAATTACCTCTACCTGCACGAGCAGGTGATGATGTGGTCTGGGCCTGGGCCTCGGAAGTTCTCGTCCTCTCAAGTGTGGGAGATGATGTTGACTGAGACATTATCGGCCCAGGCTGGCCCAGTGGAACGGGTGATTGGCATGGGATGTTACCATCTAGATGGTCATACATATGCATCACCGTGATCTCATTCAAAGGATCTTCGACGTTGTGCAGCTGCGCTGATGACGACGCCGGTGCTGGTGCTGTAGCCGGGGGCGTCGAAGAAGCGGCCTCGAGAGCCGACCTCTCTCCTCTTCGTCGCTCATAATAGGCGACTTTGTCCTCAAGCTCCCTAATCTGTCTGTATCATGTAACATCATTCTTAGCTACTTCGGCACCTTCTTTGATGTCGACCGTGAATACCGTCGGCGGACCAAGGGCAGGACGTACGAGACCGAATACAGCTTCCTCTTCTCCGAAGCGGAAAACACACATTCCAAACCCCGCTTGGCACAGTACTTGCACGGACGCTGGCCGGAGCACTTGACCTTCTTGTCCCGGCAAATCTGGCATGCATTGGATGTGCGAGCAGCCTCGGCTTGAGAAGCCGAACGGAAGCGTCTGGATGCTCTCGTTGGCGTCGAAGTGCCCCCAGCTGGTGGGCTCGCCAGAGTGCGGGTGTTGGTTCGTCGATTGATAGTCGAATCGACGTCCATGTCTGTTATCTTTCCTGCAAAGGCTGAAAGGCTCTGCCAAGATCTCTGGCCCACGAATGAGATATCCGGGGAAATGGGTCAGATTGTTTGTGTGGTGTTGTTGGGGTGTAAGGGAGACGTATCCGTGGGACGTTGTTCATGAGACGAAGTATTTAGTGGATTGTGGGGCCAGCGCCGGGTACTTTGCACGCTAATTGAGGGAAGGTGCACCTATTGACCCCGAACCCCAGATTTGGAAGCGTCTACATGAAGGAGCACTGATTGTTCAAGTCGACAGCAAAAGAAAGCTCCAAACTGTGTGCTGCGGTATGTGAAAACAATCGACCACGGTATCCAAGTTTGTTCCGATTCAACTCGTCATTAATTATACAAATCATCGTCACCATCCGACTCCTTTTGCTTCGAAGCATGTGGGCTTGTCACCCGAATGCCATTCTCCAGCCTAGCCAGACTCATCTCATAGTTCTTGTGATCGCACCACTTAGAAACCATCTTGACAGCCGTCTTAATCTCACGGCCGTTGAGCTGCCAATGCCCAAGCTCCTTGATATCCTCGTCCGTGAGCAGCTTCCTTGGACCTTTTCCTTCATCACCTAGCTCTTGCTGAGGCAACCTTCCAAGGAATTTCCGCCAGATAAGCTCCCTTGCATCGGGGCTCAGCGCCTTGAACAACAAGTGCAAGCTCACTCTACTCCGAAACGCCGTATCGATGGTGTTGTACAGGTTCGTGGTCAAGAAGATGATTCCCCGGAAGTACTCCAGCTCGCGCAGGAAGATTGATACAAGCTCGTTGCGCGCGATGTCGTTGGGGTTCCGCTCCGCCATGAACACATCTGCCTCATCAAGTAGAATCACAGCGTTCCATTCGGTTGCCATCTCGAATACCCGCTTGATCTTCTCGCCTAGCGTCGATGGGTTGATGCCAAGGTCCTCGGCCTGCAGGTAGAATAATGGGCGTTGAGTTCTGTCTGCGACCGCTTCGGCAGTGAGTGTCTTGCCAGTTCCCGGTGGGCCGCTGAGGAGGATGATGAGGCCTTGGCCTTTGCCAACGATAACATCTTCCATCGCGGTCTTGTTCGCGTGGCCGTGATTCTCGACGAAGGATAGGACTAGGTCCTTCTGCTGTTCGTCATAGACGAGGTGATCGTAGGCTTGGGCATTCCAGACGATGGGCTCGATGTCCTCTACGTAAAAACCGACTGTAGATGTTAATAAATTGAATTGGGAATTTGGAGTTGAGCAACTTACGCCAAAGCTTGTTCTTCAAGGCGAACCCCTCAATCAGTGGAGACATGAAGACGAGGTCCCCCGGACGGGCGAGCATCTCTTCCTTGTTCTTCAGCTGCGCCTTCTCCCCAAGATGTCTCCCGTTTTTGACACCTGATTTCTTCGCTTCCTTTCCTTCCGATTCGAATTCTGGCTCGCTATGATCATCGTAGATAATGTGCTTCTTAGTCACACGATTTCTTCGCGTCTCAGCGTCGTCATTTTCTCTCTTGCCCTGAGTCCGTTCGTACTTGTTGAACCCGACAACATCAATGAGGATTCTGCCCTCTACATTGTGCTTGCTCTTCAGTCCCATGGCAATGCCGTTGTAGGTACAATATGTCAACCCCTGAAGATCCAAGACCTTCTTGCCCCTCGTTAGGGTTCTCTGTAGTATTTCTTCTTTGTTCAAATGGAAATGCAGAGGGTAATGAGTGAGCTCTAGTATCGGCCGGTTCCCCGCGAACTTTGGGATCTGGAGCTCTTGGTCGGACCACACGAAGCTCTCCCCATTGAATGTGAGAATCTTGCACTTGATGTTGAGGAAAACGCCCTGATCAGTCCTCTCATACGATGTATCTTCTACCTTGCACAACAGCTCCGTGTTCTGAGCGCTGCTGTACACAACGGAGTTTCGCGGGAAGTAAGTCCAAGCCATTTTGAAGTTGATGAGACCGCTGGCCTGGAGCTTGCGCTTCTTCTCGCGTGTCTCGCCTAGCATATCGTCCAGGGTCCGTACTAGGAGCTGCAAGTAGCCCTTGAGCGAGCCGTCATCCGTCGTCTTGTACAGGTCCAGTATCTCATCGTAGCAAAAGAAGAGAGATCGGAACGGGGCCTCAAAGGTAGCAGTATCGCTAGGATCGAGGTGAACATCTTCTTTCTTGAAGATGGGCTCCAGGGCAGCGACGAGGGTCGGGTTCTGGATAGAGATTTGGTGATAGGTCAAGGAGTATCGACCTGCCATGACAGGCTTCTCAATGTCCTTGATCTTGTAGACTTTGATGGCGGGCCGGTCTTGGCTTTCGGCGACCTTCTTGCTCATCTGCTTGGGAGGGAAGTCGACCCAGTCGTATATGCCATTGCAGCTGTTCTTGCCCTCATAGTAGGTCTTGACGCTGGCATCGATGCCAAAGATGGGGTTCTTGGGCGACTGCTGCTTCTTTGGGTCGTCGTCGGAGAGACTTCCCTCGATATCAGAAATGGGGCGCCCGACTTCTTCTTTGTGGGGAAGAAGCTTGCAACGCAATTGCCATGCCTTTTCCGAAAGATTCTCCTTGTCGAAAACGTCGCGAATGTCGCTCAGGTGCATCTTGGCTATTCGTTTGCGTTGTGTATGGAAATGGTGGAAGATCCAAGGCTGAGGATCCGAACCGAGCAGAGATTGTGAAGATGGTGAGATGAGAGATGGGATGAATCAAGAAGATCAATCCTTTTTCAAATGGCAGCCTTGTTGCTTTGATGCTGAAGCCTGAAGCCTGACAGCTTATGCCACATAAGCTGCATCAGGCTCGACAATGGCGCAGATGATAGGACTCGAGGCAGATTGGTTCGCGGCCCATGGGCGCATGAGATTGGCCTCGGCGTTGTCCTAGTGGCTGACCCGATCTATCTGCAAAGGCAAAGGTACTGTACGTATGTGCTGACTTTGGGGATCTAGGACTACTCAGCCCCAGATGCCGGTGAGTCAAAGCCGGCCAAAGAGCGCCGTTGCAGCCATGGTGGCGCCTTCATGCTCGACGGAGTAACTTATGATGGATAGTTCGAGAGTTCTGGTGGGAGACGAGATGCATTTGTTGGATCTGAGGCCTATCCAGGACCCAAGATGCCATATCTCAGTTGTAAGGTAGTCGTCAGATATTCCGGAGTTCTTCTAGATTCTCGATTGATGAAACAAATATGGTTGAAAGATGGTTCAGTATGGGCTGTCAACCGCGTCGAGGGGGAGCTTTGATCGAGCCTAAACGCACGTCACTGCCGACAGCTGAGCACGGGCCAATACAAGGACGTTATAGTGGGACTGCCGTCTCGCTTAACCTTCTCAGCCACTCACAGCAGCCCTGGGGTCAAAGCCCCCTGCTAGCGTGCAGGGCAGGTTTTCACCCCCACGGTTGCCTCCCTTCAGGCACCTGGCACCTCAGCTTCTCAACTGCATTGAAGCTTAGAAGCTGAGGCACGCTCGTCCATCTGTCTGCCTTGACGTTTGCCGAACCGTTATGGGCTCATGATGGCGTTTATGAGTGCAAGCAGGGGCATTTTAGCCTTTTTCCAACGCTGCCTTTGCTAAAGCGAGATGGCGCGTTGCGCAGTGTGAAATGCTTCTCCTAAGTCCGAATCAACCACCCGCATCGGGCTGCCTAGGTACGTACCGTCTGAGGTATCTACCTAAGGGGAAATGGGGGGGTAACCAGCAGAGGTGCGTTTAATCTGCAGCGTGTATGTTGTTTAAATAAATAATGACCCCCCGGATTAATACCGCCCCGTGTTCATACTGCAGTATGTATATTGACTTAACGGTAAGTACGCCCCTTCCTCTTAGATTTTAGTCTACTATATTAGTAGAATAGCCTTCCTTAAATAGAAAAGCAATTCTAGCAGAGATCTAAAGGCCTAAGGAATCTAAGGTATTATTAAAAAGAATTAAAGAGGGGAAAATAGGTGCTTTGGCATACGTGTTAACTACGCTCGATACTAGAGGCCATGTAGCCAGCAGACCGACCCCCTAGGGGCATACACCCCCCCTAAGGAGCAGCCTAACGGACCTCTGTCGTGCGCCCACCCCCTCCCGGGCAGGTACACTGGAACTCTGACGGCCAAACAGCACATGGGCGTAAAGTTATTGTTTTCTGAAAGCCGTCTGTGAATAAAGATCCCTTGGTCTTCGTGTGATCAAATTGCATCACAAGTCACTTACTCAACTTTCTCCACGGTCTTTTGCGATTCAAAAGTCTGGTTGAATGCACTGCTGTCGAGTGTTTGCTTGCATTCATACAGCTACCCACCAATTTGGAAAAGACCGAGTCCCCGGAACACATGACAACTTGAGCTCAATCAAAGTGATGTAATGTGTGTCGCTTAGAAGTCCCGGTACCATAGCTTTGCTGTATCTCGGCAAACGTCTTATCCTTACCTACCTCGTGTACCTGTTGGTCCCAGCAGATGGAGTAGAGGGCCAGGCTATGGGTACATGAGTGTAACTGGTCGAGAGATGAAAAGCCATAGACAAAGAATTTCTAAACACCTCCAACGCCTTGCCCAGTGGCAAGGGCCTTTCTGACATGATATCTCATCTGTCACCCCAGCTTAAGGAACTCGGAGTTCAAACTAACCTGCCATTCGCCTACCCGGTGCCATGTTTCTTACAGCCTCACTTCAAATGGGACAAAGGGGCAGATTTCTCGCTCGGGTAACACAGATGGATCAAGCGAGGCGATCAATAACACGCAGACAATCGGGGAAAGAATGGAGCCTGGCAAACAAACATACAGTGACATGTGTCCGTGTCCCTGATGATCACCCACGTGGCCCTGCATGCCCAGAGACGATCCATTTCAGTCTCGACTTTGCACGTTCATCAGTTGCTACAGCTCGCAAAATATTTCGTGCAGGGTGAGTATGCAGAAGTGATTGGTATGGCCGATTTCGCGTGGTCTTCGGTGTCTTTTCATTCGAACTTCAGATGGCCGTTACGTAGTGAGAACAACATGACGGGTTGAAGGTCAAACCAACCCAACAGGTCATCCAAGAGAGGAGGGTAAGAATAGCTAGGTATCTCATTGATGAGACAAGTTGCTGGTCTCAGTGCCACATCAGACGTCATTGCGATGGAAGCACGGAAACGTACTGGCTCAGAGTGATTGCAAACAGCTGCGTGATCCTCGCTATCCTGCGATTTGCCGTCGCTTACTGGCATAGCACGAAGCAGGTAAACGCCGTTTCTTTAAGCTGTCAAAGATGATTACCCAGGGTTGCTACACCCCCAAAAGTGTGAGGCCAAGTGGCATTATCGATCGGATGCACCATATGATTGGATGCATGAAGGTAGTTTAAGTCGGGACTGGTGAGTAAAATCCGAGTACCTACGATGGAAAGTCCAGCCTTGTGTTTTGCAAGTAGCAGAACAACGTTAATCTGGGCATTAGACTCCAGACACCATGAAGAATAATGAGATGTGATATTGGAGCCACAAGTGTCCTGCTGTGCCCGGTGCTGCATCGGGGTCACGCTATCTGATATGGAATCCTCACGATGAACACTTAGGAGCATGGAACTTCTGCTGCCAGCATGGACAAGCCGACTATTAGTCTACTCTGACTCACGACAGAGTGTTTTATCACCATCAACACATCTGCATCTGTAGTCGTTCGCATGTACCTTGACATCCACGACCAAGAGCTGACCATGTAGGGTTGTAACCGTTATACTCTCGATGCCTTCTTCCTGAGTCTTAAGTCGTACTTCAAATTGTGACACGACAAATTCGAAACCTGACATGCCCATTCACATGGGCGTGCTACTCAGTTTCTTGAGCACTCCAAGTCATCTAGTACCTACAGAGGTCCACATAATCAAGGAAGGCGTATCAATAGCCGCCCTTGTGCTTTATAAGAGCTGCTCAAATGCACGTCGTGAGTAAGGTATGTGCGACTCGACTCGACATCCAACTCTCTTTCTTAAACCCGTCGGTCCGAGGCGCTCAGTGCCTCAGATTACAACATAAACAGTGTAAATGGACGTTGAATGTGAGACCAGACGATCCTGGCGCATTGGAGCGCGTCAAAACAAAGGAGGGAGCAGAAGCTATTGTGGTCCACCAAGAAAAAGCATCTACCGAATCCCCAGCGCTTCTCTGCCAAGTTTACTATACGAGAAAAGGTATAAGTGGACGTCTTCCCCTTAGGCCCCTCTTTCGTCCCTTGACTTCCAGGGACATCTCCACATCGGGACCTCCTAGTGCACAATACACAGCCTTAATCATGTGGAAACGAAGAATGTCGTGCACATTTGTGGAGACGCAAGAGGTCAGTCATGCTGACCGGGACATAATAGACAGGGAACACTGGTGCTGCCTTGATTCCGAGCCGGCTCACCGAGATTATCAAAGTCAAAAAAAAAGGCGATGTAGAAAACTTGGCTCCAATGCTGTCCAGTAGGGAAGGTCGCATTCTCAGGTCATCAACTCTCACCGGAATATCACGCTACTTTCAAGAATTCGGGTCCTCCGCCCGAACGACGCTAAAAGCCAAGCTTGCGGTCGCGATTCTTTAGTGTCGCGTGCCTTAGAGACCTGGTTGGAGACGGACGGCACTTGCGCAGGGGAGCTCGGAGTTCAATTGGGACAGTCTGCAGATGGAGGGGTGCCCTGCCGGCTCAAGTAGGAAATGATACGATTCCCATTGTGGTGTGCAGGACCCTGAAGGCGGGGGTTGCGGGGGTCAACCCGTTCCCAGATATTCCAACTTTCGAGCTGATAAGATTTCTATATGGAAACTTATCCAGGGAAGCCCAGGCTCAGGGACCGAAGTCATTTTGCGAGTGGACATCTGAGTCGGCGCAAAAGAAATCTTGTACTTCTATTGTTGACGATTCATGGGCTAAGAAACCTCGGACTCAACTCCAGTCAAGAAGGGGGTGACATATCAAAAAGTTCAGGACGGTTAGGGTTTGCCGGGGAACGTGCAATGACGACAACCACGTTTTGCAATCCGGTATAGCAGAGGTCTAAAAGGGTCTCACATCGGCTCGTGCTGCCAAACCGACCTCGCACAGCAAACTATGCCTCTTCGTCGCAAGAGTTGTTGCAATAACACCAGGGCTCCCGAGTCAGGATAGCCGCCCGGGGTTTCATCGCCAGGCCTCTTTTGTTTGCAGTGTGGTACGGAAGCAAGGGACCACAACACCCACATAACCGCCCTGGCGTAACGGGAACCAAAGGGGCCACCATCCTGGCCGAGCAAGGGTCCGAACGCCGTTTTTCTGCCCTGCTTTTCAACATCTTGCTTGTTCCGACCTCCGTTCCACCGTGTTCCTTGTTTGCATCTCACAAAGAACCCGGATTTTCTTGAAAGCGACAATATTACGATTTTCCAAGGCTCCCAGGGTTGCACCCGCGCTGGAGCACCGCCGTTTGTGAGAGGGCAGCTTGCTTTCCTTCCTTTCCATAACATGTATTTCCCTTCCTAATTACTGTCATTTATGTACATGCCTTGACACTCAACGGGTCCATGCCCCGTGAGTATCTCGCCCGGTCGGGCAGCAAACGGTTATTGGGACCAACAGGTATAACGCATTGTTTAAGAAACCTTTCGTCCCAAAAACTTGCGCCGTCCCCCCATCTCTCGCCTAAAGTTAGAAAAAAGAGGGGACCGATTCCCGAACAAAGACTAGTCATGTCATCGGAGCATCAACGTTGTGATCTGCGGTCCCCTTTATGCCTCTGCCGAAGCGACGACATCCCGGTCCGTTCGTCGAGTGTGTGATACCCTAGATCTCGCGCGTCCGTCAAGTAATGATAAACTGAACGCGATCCCGTCGCTCTTCCGTTCTCACGAGGTCTGTTGTGAGCAGAACTTTTGGACGAAACCTCAGATGATCGTATAGCCAGTTCGCGATGTGTTCAACAGCTCCGGCCAACAGCCTCTTCGGGGGCGCGTCCTTCTCCTTGCCCTATCATACCCTCGATGGAGCTGTCATCGCTAGCAAGATGGCTTCTTCCACCATGGTGGTCACGGAATCGGTGACTGAGATCACAGAAGTGACGGAGCCAACAGAAGAAGTGGCACAGTTGATTTCAGCGCCGACCATTTATCTCGATGACAGCGGCGACCTGAGACTCTCCGTCGGCGGCGACGTTGAAGAACACCCACAAGATTTCGTCGTCTGCTCAAGGGCCCTTGGTCGAAGCTCTCCTGTGCTGAAGGCCATGCTATTTGGTCGCTTCCTTGAGGCTCGTCCGGTAGAGGGTGCCGGAGAGTGGGCCGTCGACCTGCCCGAAGACTCACCAGAAGCAATGGAAATCGTACTGAACATCGTTCATGGCCACTTCAACCTCGTCCCGGAGAAGCTACCGTTGATGCGTCTCTACAACGTCCTCACAATCACGGAGAAGTACGACATGACCGTCATCGTTCGCCCATGGGCGCGCTCGTGGATGCAGGGCGTCAAGCACCAGACCGACAATGCGTATCTGCTATGCGTTGCTTGGGAGCTGGGAGACACGGAAGTCTTTGAGACAATGTACAAGAAAATCACCTACGAGTCAATGATTGACCTCCAAGGAAGGATCGTATTTGGACACTTGGCACGCATCTGGAAGCCTGGGCCAGAGGGATACAATTTTCCTCTCGAAAAGATTGTCTACCTTCGGCCCCCGGAAGTCTTCGGTAAGTTTGCTCCGCCGATCAACTCAGTCAGGTCGTCAAATCGCTAACACGACAGTCAACAGAAACCATCGCCAAGCACCGCCAAACATTGGTCTCGGCCTACTTGGACCACTTCGTCCTCCTTTACCGATGTCTCAAAGACGGATGCAGATACATGAAAGGATACTACCACAGCTCACCAGACGCCGAGGAGTGCAACAGCATGCTTCTCGGGTCACTAGTGAGATCTCTCGCCAAGGGAAAGGTCGACATTACCCTCCCGAGCCCTTGTGAATCGTACAGAGGAAATGTGGAATCGTTGGAGAAGGCCATTGGCGCCGTCAAGCTCTTGACAGTGCACAAGCCATCTCCAGCGAACCAATGTTTGAAGAGGATAGAAGAGGAGCTGGCGAAGGGCGCAGTTGCCGCCGGCGTAACAAAAACGGAGTTGGTTGTCATTCAACCGGAGCATCGGGGATATCTGGAAAAGCAAGCTAGTAAGACCGGAGTTGTCATGGCTGGATAAAAAGGTCGGTTGCATCATCGGTGTGTAATGGAAATGGAATTTTGGGATAGGGATTGTTGTTCCTGGGGTATTTCTGGGAGGGTGCATGGTTTGGGAACGGTTAAGTCTGGAGTTTTGGGCAGAGTTACGGGAGACTGTATGAAATCATTCAGGAAGATTAGATTTTATTACCCCATCTCTTTTAATTACTCGCAAAGATTCTAATTAGAACTTTTCAACCAAGTCAAATCAGAAAAACATGCGTGGCAACAGTTGAGCACGGGGTAGGCTGATTCTAGCTTCGTCTGTGCATTGAGAGATCAGCGCGGGGTGGAACTATGTGTTCACGAACGTCATCATGCTGTATCAAAACGGCGTAAAGATGGGATAAACACTTGAATCAAAACCTCGAAATTTTTGTTTTATGCCAATACACCATCCCGCAGACTATGTCATCAGAGTAAACGCCCAGCCCTAAACCCCAGATTTGCCCACTATCAGGAGCCAACATGCCATGACTCTTCAGTTGAAGCCAAGGTTGCCAATCGTAACAGACTTGATGTTCTGGTACTCTGCCAGTCCATACTTGCTGCCCTCCCGGCCAAGTCCACTCTCCTTCACACCACCAAACGGTGCCTCCGCCGCGCTGATGAGACCGGTGTTGACGCCCAGCATGCCGCACTCCAATCGTCTCGCTACACGCATGACTCGGGAGATGTCTTTGCTGAAGAAGTAGCCCGCAAGGCCGTACTCTGTAGCATTCGCCAGCTCCACGGCTTCTGCCTCCGTCTTGAACGAAAAAATGGCCGCCAGCGGGCCAAAGGTCTCGTCATGTGCGACCTCCATGTCGGTAGTGACCCCGCTGATCACTGTAGGCTCATAGAAGTACCCCTTGAGTCCCTCTGGTGCCTTGCCGCCCGTGTGGAGGACGGCACCCTTCTTCAGTGCGTCTTGTACGTGAGCGTCGACCTTTTGGACGGCGGCGGCGTTGACGAGGGGGCCTTGTGTGATGCCCTCGTCGATTCCACGACCGAGCTTGTACTGCTTTACGCGGGCTACGAGCTTCTCGATGAATTGGTCCTTGACCGCCTCATGGACGAGCAATCTGTTTGCGCACTGAGGATATCTGTCAGTCTGACTTCTAGGATGTCATTACCTTTGGAGAGGCTTACCACGCATGTCTGTCCGGAGCACCTGAACTTGCAAATTAAGGCACCCTCGACAGCTTGATCGATATCCGCATCATCAAACACAATGAACGGGGCATTTCCGCCCAACTCCATGCTCACGCGCTTCATCGTACCCGCCGCAGCCTTAGTGAGCATCTTACCGACACCAGTTGACCCAGTGAAACTTAGTTTCTTCACGATAGGGTTGTTGGCGAGCTCCATCGACGCCTCTCTATCCTTGGTCGGCACCACATGGATGATGTCTGACGGAATCCCGGCAGCGAGTGCCAACTTAGCCAGAGCCAGAGCGCTAAAAGGTGTTTCGCTTGGTGGCTTGATGATTACTGAGCATCCCGCGGCGAAGGCTGGGGCAATCTTGCGGGTGATCATGGCTGCTGGGAAGTTCCAAGGGGTGATGATTCCGCAGACGCCCACAGGCTCCTTGAAGGTCAAGACGGTGGTGTTGGCGTAGGATGAGGGGATAGTATCGCCGTATGACCGTGTCGCTTCCTCAGCGAACCAAGAGATGAAAGAAGCGGCGTAAACGACCTCGCCTCTGGCTTCGGCAAAGGTCTTGCCATTCTCCAAAGATAGGATCAGGGCCACTGAGAGGGCATTAGTTTGTCAATTTCTTAGCAGGTAGTCATCTAATGTTGCGAATCCACTCACGATCGTCAGCGTTGGCAATGACCAAGTCGAACCACTTTCTAAGCAGGGCGCCTCGCTCCTTTGCTGTTGTTGACTCATGGAACTTGGCTGACCCCTTCTTGGCGCTCTCGATGGCATCGATGAAGTCTTGCCGGCTCAAGTTGGCGCATTCTTGGAGGACCGTCGCGCTTGACGGTTCGTAGACGGGGAATGTTTTGCCATCCTGACCATTCTTCCACTCGCCGGCGACGAGACCAGAAGAAATCAGCAGGCTCTTGTCCTGGAGCTTTGCGAAGACGTGTGCCATTTTGTGCCCTAGTGATGTGATGTGCACTTATTTCTGGCTTTGTGCGATCTATTAAGAGGGAGGAAGAAAAGTGGAATAGCTGGTTTAAGACTCTACGACACGGGAACTTATTTTTATATATCCCGCCGTCTTTGGCCATGTTTCTTAGTTTCCTTGAATCACCCCATTCTCGTAGCGGTGACAGCCGAGCTTCGGAGCATTGCGGGGACGCGAATCGACGGCGATCCGGCTGCCGGTCGTGCATCAAATCCACCGAGGCTCATGCAGGAGATATTGGCGCTAGTGAATGCCTCGGAACTACGGAGGGCAGTTTATATACAACCCCGCAGTCGAAACACCTTCCCCTAAGTCGACACTATACGAGTGCAGATGGGCTCGATCAATCGAGAATTATCCTCGGTTCCATTCTATTAGTCATGGATACTCCAGGGTACCATCCTATCCCATCATGCGCGCGGGATAGAGCGGGAATTTCCTCGCTCTCCGGCCGGCCCGGCCCCATTTGATGTGGGTCAACCGGCCCGGCGGGTTCCGATAAACTGAATCTACCGGCCCGGCTCCGATGGCATGACAAGGCGGAATCCGAATGATGACATCCGGGTAGCCGCGTGGGATTACGTATCATAAGGCGTTCTGATTGTGGGATCGACGTCGTGCTTCAATCTATAACAACTTGCTCTTCCAAACGCGGGGCATGAGCTACTGTTTCTGTCCATTCGTGGATTGGTATACGTGAAATGGCAGTCTGTCCAAGATACAAGCATCTTTGAGTCGTAATTTGAGATATAACTAGCGGAATTTAGCTGAGTACAACCGAGACATATCGTCTTTCATTATAATTGGGCTCAAGATCCGTCTATGTACATAGAGCACGCGTTTCTGAAGGCTGAATTTGTTGACTAGTCATTCTATCTAGGTAGCCTACGAAGTGGACAGGTCTTGAACAAGACTCAGTTCAGTTTGAACGATCCTCTAACCAGGCCTTGGGAAGTGAAGATTCCCCGCGGGTCAATTGATCTCTGGATCTCTTGGAGCCTGTTCTTATTGTTCTCTCCGTATCCTGAAAATGGGTCTTGATTATGATTCGCATAATTGATATACAGCCAAGGATGCAGCAAGTCCATCGAGTCGGCTTCTGCCTTGCCTCGGTTGATGATTCGGTCGGCATAGGCGTACATGGCCGCATCGTCCTCCGACTTGGACCATCCAAGAGTGAGAAGCGCAACTTTTCGGTGGTAAGGATAGTCAGCATGTGCTCTACTTCGATAGTACGTAAGATAAATGGCGGAAAGCATACTCATCAGCGGGCCATCGGACTCGACTCCGAGAGAGTTTCCTCCTCTGACCTTCATGGCATCGATAGCATTCTTGTGCAAAGCCTGAACAACAAGCGAGGACGAGAGACCCGGAGTGGTCTTGACGCCCTCAATTTCTTCTGAGTAAATGTTGATCAACTGCTTGTGCAGAACGCGGGAAGGGCGGAAAGTGAAAGAAGCATAGACGCGACTGCATTCCGGGCAGTCAGAACCTGTCTCAATGGGCCAGCAAATGTGCTGAGGGTTCGGAGGTCGGCTTACCGTAGTCCATGCGGAGAGACACTGTCAAGACTGTGGTTGCTCATCCAATCGACTCGAAGATTGCTCGTCTCATAAGGGATTTTGTTCAACTCGGTGAAGACAGGTGGTTCGACGATAGGTTCATAGTACGCTTGCGAGACGCTCATGCTGAATCGGTCATTGGCAACATCGTAAGAGTTGCGAGTCCAGAAGGACATGTATGTGTCAGCAGCCAGGTTGGTCGCAAGTTGATAAGACTGATCAACGAGCTGATCGGTGAAGTTAATATGATAGGTCCTTGCACCACCCCATTTCTGTCCTTGCGGCACAAGCCGCGAACGAAAGTTGGTTATGATGCCGAAGTTATTACCACCTCCTCGCAAAGCAAAGTACAGGTCTGGGTGGGCAGTCTCCGAGACATTGACAATGGTGGCATTTGGTAGCACAAGCTGTTGCATAGTGAGTTAGCTAGGAGCTTTCTGTAAGGTAACGCAACGTGTGTTCCCTATAAAGTCGAGGTGCTCACTTGATACTCCCACACATTATCCACAGCCAAGCCGTGTTGCGGTCCAAGATCGGAGAGTCCGCCGCCGATCGTGAATCCGGGAAGTCCAACATCCGCTGTTCTCCCGCCAATCATCGTGAGATTATGCTTCTCCAGTGCCAAATAAGCGTCGCGAAGGACATGACCAGGTCCGAGATTAGCTTTGGTGCGGTCTTCTGAAATCTCAATATGGTCCATGAGGTGCAAGTCGATCGTGATACCACCGACTGAGTTGGAAGCATCCAGATTTGTCATGTGTCCCCCGCCTTTGATCGCGAATCGGCACCAGTTGTTGACAGTGATCTCAACGACTCTCGAGACCTGAGGCGCGGTGGTCGGCTCTACGCGGCAGGCGGGGAGAACCTCCTGCTGCTTCATGTCCCATATCGCAAAGGAAGGATCGTTGCTACCTAAATGTACGGCAGAGCCGAACTCCTCCATCAGTTGAGAGCACTAGCTGGTCGATCAGTACAGGGAACTCTTTAGAGGGCTCATAAAATTGAGGATATCTCACTGCTTGACTGCATCCCGCAGTTATGGAGGTTTCAGACGCAAAACCCAGCCGAGTCTGGGCAAGGAGGCCGAGGATGTACCCGATTGCCATGGTAATAATTTCCGGATCAGAATTCTTAATCTGAACAATGGATGAAATGAGTGTGAGGAATAATCGATTCACTTGGAAGGATTGTTGCTGCATTTATCTACTCCCAGACGAAGTCACTGCACTAAACCTGTGACTTCGGGGGCCTGATGGATGTCGATGATACTTGGTCACCAGCATACAAGGTATCGTAGCATTCCACATCGAGCTGCTGCTTTAGGAAAGAAGCTGGGTATAGCTGTATGCTGATAGCTCAGGTCGGGATCCATTTCATATATGCAAGCGACAAGAAAGACTGTCGTCATGTGGGATCAATGCAGTCAAGCGGACCCCGCGCAACCCACGGGCTTTTGAGTTGACACTAAGAAGATGCTCTTCAACTGCCTATTTCTATGGGCGATCCAGCATCAGGATCAACATGCTACGTCCGGACAGGCATCCGTAAGTGCCTTGCCAAATGTCACCGCCAAATTCTTGTACGAATGGGTCAAGTCCGAAGTCGCATCCACGCGGCCTGCCAAGAAGCTCGATCCAGGAGCTCATCTCAAAGCGACTTAATGCATGACGTTGCAAAAGACGACACCACACAAAGAAAATGTTCAGATAGCTATCCGTGAAACACAGGACGAGGACAGGGGACGGATGCCGATTATGTTCTAGCGCAAAGTCCCATCGTGCGGCTCCTCCCGTAGATGTCAGTTAGTCAGATAGGCGTGTCCGATAGACGTTGTTTCCTGGATTGCGCGGCCAGCGTCGAATCTATGTAACAGTATGGAAGTCGCACGTATCTACTTGAATTTTCAACTATAAATACAATCATGAGATGACCGTGTTGTGAATAAGTACAGTCAATTTGGCCAAACCTAGAACTGAAGAGAAGGGGACCGGACTGAGAGTTCAGAACTATGCCTTTTCGGGGGTCCATCCAATGCAGTGTCTCTCGCCCGAAATGCAATGTTGTCAGAGTTCCAGAGTGTCAGCAGGTTGCATGAAACCCCTCACCCGCACCAGCTCAGAGCCAGGTTCTCAACGACATACTTAGGATGAAGCTCAGACCCAGGTCGTGATCAGCAACTACCTTGTACGTTATCGGTCGCCGAAGGGGATCTCTCATTTGTCTAAAGACATCATGGAACTGGAACTGGACACTCCAGAAGCACCCGAAACCTATTCGTTGAACAATTGAGTGGAATGAAGAAGTTCAGGGTTGTCCGGCCATTGTTCGGTTCTACGACGTTTGTGGTGGCTGAATCGGATCAGGGAAGCTAAGAATGATCGGGGCTAATGTTTAAGTGGAACTTTCTCACATGCAACCTGCTGACGTGCCGGGGTTAGGGCGCCTCAATGAGACCGCTCGGCAGGAGATAAGATGAATGGGCTGATGAGACCAATTATTCGCTTGGGCAGGTGAATCTAGCTCACTAGCAATCATCAGACGCCATTGCGCCGGGACGTGGATGGTAATCATAGCACACTTTGATAGCCTGTATAATTCTCATAGAAACTTTTCCCCAGTCTCTGTATTATTGTATTGGGAAAGGTAAGCTGGAGTAAGTGAGCTACAATTCCTCCTGAATGACTGATTCAACTCAGAGTATTAGCATCAAACAGTGCAGGAAATGCACGCAAGACAGGCATTCCGAACCCATTGCCAAGTACCTATTGAAGGTTGACGTTTGCCAGAGGATCATTCCTCTCACATCAGCAGACAAGCTGACCTATCGAGACTTCGCTTATCCTGCTTATTCGACCGCGCCTGTGCTTGGCACGCCGTAACGTGAGTTGAATCCGAACAGGAGAACGGCAAGCTCGGAGGATCGACGCTATGAAAACACCGCTCAAGTTCTCTGAGACCACATCAGACATAACGAGATGCTCAAAAACTAAACCAGATAAGAAAGACTCTACCCTCGAGAGCATGATGGCGAGATATCGAATCTTTTCTATCAGCACCGTAGACGACGCTAGCAGCGTCGACCTTTTCTCAGGATTCACTGATGGCGGCCTGACTTCTTTGAAGCTATCTCACGAGGACGGTCGCTGCAAATTGGAGTAAATCTACGTTTCAAAATCTTGCGGCCTACAATCAGTCTGTGTAGAACTTAGCAAGCCTCATAATGTTCTTTACTGCCTAAACAGAAGTGGCTTGGTTAGTACTTTCAACGTGGAGCAAGACGGAGAATTAATGCCCATCGTGAGCCGAAACACAACTATCGGCCCCGTCAGCAGCACGCTCTATAACAGCTGTGAGAATAGAGAAATGGTCGCTGCTCACTTGTAGGCCACTGATGAAGTACTTGACTTTTTTACTTGAGGCACTAATGCTGCCGTACGCTTTACGGGCTTGAAGCTATGTTGCGACATGGAACGCACCCTTCGACGGCCAAATCAGCTAGCTCCAGACGTTTGTGTACTCATCGCCTAAAAGACCAAAGCCGGAGCAGAGCATCTCGCACCCTCATGATGTAATTCTAGACCCGACTAGGGAGTTAATTGTTGTGTTTGATCTTGGTTCTGACCTTCTTCAATTTTGCTCTTTCGACAAAGTCATAGATCTCTTGACCGAGATTAGTAGACAATATACCGTGTCCTTGGGATTCAGGTCCACGTCAGGGCGTGTTCTGGGCACCGAATGCGAATTTTACCCGAGGAGACTCTCTGCATCTAAATGTTCTAGCAGAACTCGACAGCACCATCACATCATTCCATTTCACATATCCACTTTGTACAGGCGTCATTGCTTTTGAGCAGACTTTCATCATCAGCTCGGACAGCTCCCCGCCAGCAGCCTCTAAGGGAATCGTGGCGGAGATCGAGGTTTCTGTAATCAAATCCGGTTCCTTAGTCATAACATGACATGAACCTATCCAACTAACAAAAGAGTTTATGGCTTGACAACAGATTTATCATTGCCTCCAATCGCGATTATTCGCCTTTCGAGATACCCAATTTCAACTCGAACAATAAGACGCAGGAGCCTTCGGACCCTCTCGCCATTTTCAAGCCAATGCCAGATGGCGCCTTGTCTTTTGTACAATTAGCACCTGCGGGGGGAAAATGGCCGGGACATTTCAAGATGAATAAGAGGGGGATCTGGTCGCTGTAAGCTTGCAGACCTCGACTCGAATGGCGGTCATGCAGAGGGATATAGACAGTGGAAATCTCCGGTCTATCGTTGCTCATATCGTTAATATAGGTGAAGTTGTCACTGCTGTTTGAGACGAGTAGCTGGAACAAGCCATATCAAAAACGAAGACAGCGACATTGAGGTTTTTGGCCTCTATCATCGAGAGTCTCTTAATCTTGATCAGAGTCAAACAAGTCCTTAAACTCCGTGGCAAGTCTCGATATCTGTGTCAACTGCAATTTGCGTCAATTTACCTGATGTCTCGTATGATGGATGGACATCTTCACCAGAGATGCAGCCCCGCTCGATAAAAGTTGCCGATGAGAAGCCATACTCACTGAACGGCACAATGGATGAATGTTTGTTGAGTCCCCTTAAGCATTTGGGGCTTTCAAAAGTTGGGTAATCGGAAAACCCCTCTTGCAGAGAAATACCGAAGCTATACTCGATTCATCCGCCCAGAGGCAGAATAAAAGCTCATAACGACGGCAAGATGATGGCAGTATCTTGGTGATCGTGTTGGTTCTGTTCATGATGTTGGATGCGAGCTGGACGCGAGGTCGCTTCGCAAGGGTCCATAAATCTCCAACAACAATTGGTTGCTAGCATTTGTTGCTGCATGGGCGATACTTCCCCTGCTGTTTGTTGAACTCTTATTCGTTCTTCCTCAAGGGGGATTATCCTCATGCAGAAGTAACGCCCGTTAATGAATCCACGGCCGCAGAGCAGGGGGGCTCAATGGCCCACAGCATTGGTAGCGACACTCACGTGCACTTGAACATCAGTGGCATCCTGTCATCCAACAGAGTTCATTCCCCAGAAAAGTCATCCGCAGCCGCCCGTTGGAAACCCGCGACAAAAGTTATTGCTCGCACAGGTCACTACGATATGTACTCCCGTCCACCGTCCTGTCGCACGATGGGTGTCGATTCTGCCATCGACGTAGACGCAGCACTAGAGCCCATACCGCCCAATAATGTGCCTGATAGCGAGGTCATTATCGAGGCTGACAATCAGGTACGCATAGTGCATCATCGCTGGCCCCAGGTACACAAGAGGATATTCTAATGACAACAGAACGAGGATGAAAGAGAAGAATCGGTAAGGCCTGATAATTTAGTGGACAAAATAAAAGCTAGGAGTTGCCTGGCCGTGAAGAGCTCCAGGCTGACCTTCAACCAGGGAAGTGTAGCTTCGTCGAGTATGAGTGCCACAAGCTCAATTTTCGGATTTCGTATCGAAAATGGAAGAACCTATCATAAGTACAAAGATGGCAGTGAGTCTTTCAACCCTCACGATTACGACTTACTTAAACTTCATGTACCCTACACGACGACTCCTCGAGACATGGATATGCTGACGTACCACGGTAGAATACAATTTGCCCAATGATGAAAGAGAGACGGAAAGATTGGGTCAGTTCTCACTCAGCAGACCTATTGATCATTCTAATTATAAGAACAGACTTGCAGCACACTTTGTTTCGACTTACGTTTGGCGATAGACTTGGTACTGCCCCACCAAGTGATCCAGGGAGTAACGTCGGCAGAGTTTTGGATGTAGGCACAGGGAGTGGGATATGGGCTATTGACTATGGTGATGAACATCCTCAATCTGAGGTCAGAGATTACATGAATGTACGTGAGACAGAATTCAAAACACTGACTGACAGCACAGGTTCGAGGCATCGATCTCTCAGCTGCACAACCAACTTTGTACGCAGTCTGACCACAAATCCCTTTGATAGGGCAACCGGCATACTTACTACTTGCTTAGTACGCCAAAAAATGTGAAATTTCTTATCGACGACCTCGAAGAGCCGTGGACCTACTCACGACCTTTCGACTACATACATAGCCGAATGATGAACTCCTCGATCAGGGACTGGCGAGAATACATAAGAAACTGCTATGAGTGAGTCTCTTGATTTGATAGAGTCTGTGATATCATACAGTAACTCATCAACATAAACGCACAGCAACCTCAATCCCGGTGGATATCTGGAGTTAAATGAGATTGATGTCAAGCCACTCTCTGATGACGGCACCTTGAAACCGGAGCATTCCATCTCTCGAACCGTCGAGATGCTCCAAGAGGCTTCAGAGCTATTTGGACGCCCGTACCAAGATCCCAGGGCATTGAAATCGGTTCTCATGGAGACGGGTTTCACTGGTGTGACGATGCAACACTTCAAGTGGCCCACCAACTCTTGGCCGAAGGAACCCCGGCACAAAGAGCTTGGGGTTTGGAATAACGAGAATCTCACACAGGGATGGGAGGCGATCTGTATGGCGCCGCTCACGAGGGCGCTCCGTTGGACCAAGAACGAGGTCTTGGTATTAATGGCCGAGAACCGCAGAGACTTCTGCGACCGAAACATTCATGCGTACTTTTCTATGTAGGTTATCATGACCCTAGGCCGTCCTTCAACTTGGAGATTCCGACGTCATCATCCTAGCTAACATTCCTTTTCTAGATGGTCGATTTATGGACGAAAGCCAATAGACACAGACATGGGTGGCACCGAGGAACGTAACGAGTAAGGTCACGAGGTGAGGTATAAGGATAACAGGGAGAGTAGGTGACGTGAACAGCAGATGCGCCTCACGAGAGGGATCCGAGCTAATCCTTGAGACCGCGCCGGCTGAGAAAATCGAACCAGGAACACAGACAGGTTCAACCCACTATAGCAAGTCAGATACCCATTAATCTACACAATTTCTGTTTTCCGGCACGATTTATACTGTGCTCATGTACGGTGCTCATGCCCTCATAGAGAAATGCAATGTTACTCTCGATAAGATCACTGATTGGCAATGAGATCCAAGAAATGTCGGGGTTGTTGAGGGCTCGGGCATATGCTCGGAGCTTTCTCGGACGGCAGCGGCATAACGAAAGCTAGAACCTACAGACCTGGGTTGAATGGCCCTTCTGCCCTTGTATTAAATCAAAAGCTTGCCTTGTTGTTTAGTCCAGTCGGATTGAATCCCTGTTTCCGTGCATCAGTGTTGATTCTGATTTAGGCTTTCGGTCAATGCGACGTGCTGAACTCTGTCTAAGCTCGTGCAGCTATCATTGGCCTGATGGGCTACAATTACTGATGCGCTCAGAACCTAGACTACCGGTTGGAGTGCAAAGCAAACGCCTCGGTCTCAGATTTTTGAGAGGTTCAAAACATGAAGCTCGGCCTGATGGACGTGACAGAAAGTACGCAAAGAGCGTTCGATTTACAAACCCGGAGCATCCCGCCACTTCTTTCATCAAATAATGAAGGGTCTCCGATGCACACCACCCCTTCGAGGCTCGATACTGCTGCGTCCGTAGTAGGGCAGACATCATGAAGACCACTAACAGACCCGATGAATGGAGGATTGAGCAGGGACTGGCTGGGGCGGAGCTTCCCGTCCTTGACATGACGGGACCGCAAACCAAGGCTCTCCCCCCTCAGATTTTTGGTGACCTAACGAAAGATGATGCCGCCATAAAGAAAGTCGGCGACCCGAACAAGTTGTTCACCGAGGAGCGGCAAGGTTGGACCGGGTGAGTCCCTTCAAGCGACTTCAGCACAACCTGCCTTCGATTACAAACACTATGACTGCATGTCTACAGCAGCTGACAATTCCGGATTCAAAACAGCTTCGTCGAGTGGGAAAATTATCCGGAGAAGAAGGCCGCGGCCCATAGGATCTTGACCTCCCAGACATTTCCCCCAAATCCAGAGTTCCAGCTTGGGCCTATTCCAGCTAGCAATCCTGTCCTTCCTGGTACTCATTGGAAGATGTGGCACAAGGCGGTTGGAGGCGCTTTGTCTCGCATCCCCGACGACTCGTGGGATATTGTGCTCAAGGAGAAGCACGCCGAAATGCTGCATCTTCTCCAATTTCCTTACAACGGCGAGCCTCCCAAGCGCCTCGTGACCGACAAAGAAATTACCCCGAATCCCCTCCACTTCGTCCGAAACCATGGCGGGATTCCGATCATTGACAAAGAGCACTACAGCTTTCTGTTGGATGGACTTGTAGCGAACCCGAGATCGTTCACTTTGGATGACCTCATGGACGAAACCAAGTTTCCGCGGATGGAGAAGACAGTGACGATGCAATGCTCGGGAACCCGACGTATCGAGCAGATTCTCAAGTACCCCGGTCAGGGTGATGAGGTGCCTCAAGCACCCTGGGCTGAAGGTGCGATCGGAACTGCCAAGTACGTTGGCATCAGCCTCAAAAAAGTCATCAAAGCCTGCGGTGGACTCATCGAAGGGGCAAAACATCTCGAATTCTACGGCGCGGACACCTACTTCAAAGATGACAAAACCATGAACTATCTCGTCAGCGTTCCATGGTCAAAAGTGAGGGCAAACGAGGTCATGCTGGCCTGGGAGATGAATGGCGATGTTCTTCCTCGCATTCATGGATATCCCCTTCGCATCGTTGTGTTCGGCTACATTGGAGCACGAAGCGTCAAGTGGCTTTACCGCATCAAGGCTATCAAGAACCCTACACGTGCGCCTGTTCAGAGCCAGGAGTACCTCTACTTTCCTCAACAAGTCGGCAAGCATAATCTCAAGATGACGGACGGCATCCAGATCCAGGAAATGCCAGTTAGTTCTGCCATCATGTCGCCTTGGACCAAACAGGTCGTCATACATAACGGCAAAATCCGCTGCAAGGGATGGGCCTACTCAGGTGGTGGTCGCTGGCCAGAGCGGGTTGAGCTCTCAGCTGACGGGGGGTTCAATTGGTATACTGTGCCGGTCGAGAATCTCTCCGAGAAGCGAAAATGGACCTGGCGAACCTGGAAGATCGATCTTCCTTGCGACGTGGAAGGCTGGATTGAGATCGTCTGTCGCTGCTGGGACAATTCGCTTAATACTCAACCGCCCGATGTACGCACAGCTTGGAATTGGGGCTTACATGTGACCAGTTCTTGTCACAGAATATCGGTTTACAGTGTAAACAACACCCGACCAAATACTCAGGCACGCCTCCGGGAATTTGCAGACAAGGGTATTCCGTTCGCTCCAATCACAGTACCCCTGGCTTTCCCGTCTCAATCTTGGGAGGAGTATGAGGAATTTTGGAAAAAGCACGATCCACGGGATGCTGAGGATTAGTTGACTGCCTTTGTATTTTGCTTGATATGACGTTGCGATGGCTTTACTGTATGTATGCGGGATCGCAAGAGGGAATCGTCAGAAAGCTTCAGGATACAACCCAAATTGAATCAATGAAGACGACTGTGATAAAAACTGGACACAGGAACTGTTGGGGTGAACATCGCGCCTTGACAGCCATATCGATGTACCCCGTCTGTTACGGATCGATACCGCTGCAGCACCCATTCTGTGGTTCGCTCTGGGCATTGGGTACCGCTAGCACGTAAACAAAGCGACCGGAGTTTCGAACGCATGTGGTGTGGTTCGTTTACACCGCCATAGACAATGAGCAATTGATGTTTACTGTGCCGCGAGCTAGCTGCCACTTCTGGAACTGCCCCCCGAGTACCAGGGTTTTGTCGCAGATAGCTGGTTGGATCCGACTGGATCCGACTGGACAAGCCAACATGCATATCTGCGTAGTTGTCTCCAGATGTCCAGCCAAGAAGAGGGGTAAATCGACGTGGGACCCGTCTCCAAAATATTTCCCATCGGTTTCGCGTTGTGAAATCTTCCCATACCCGACATTGCACAGACATAGTTCATAGCAGACGAATCTGGTGCTCAGCGACTGTTACATTCACTCCGCTCAAGTCTGGTTGGGCTCATCCGCATAGAACATTTCATATCATTTGTGCTCAACAGTGGAGGACACGATGTGCAACGACGACAACAATAGCCCCACCCCCCAGCCCCCACCAGCTGGCGCCATCGCGGCTGATGAGGTGAGATGTCTTAAGAATCCGTCGAGAGATGGCAATTACTGAAAGTGCATGTACACTGTAGTTCACCGACGACAATTCCTCATTGAATGGTGTAGGTATCTCGGAAGATACACCAGGAGGTGCCCGCAGAAGCCAGCTGACTAGGTGACTTTAGGGTAGCATCGCGTCGTCCACCTCGACTGTAGCGGCCTCGATTCTTGAATCTAGACTAGAGAACGGGAGAACGTACCACAAGTACAAAGAAGGGAGTATGATTAAACGAAATCATCTGAGATTATACAAGACTAATCGTTGCAGAGTACTGGGCACCTAACGATGAGAGAGAGAAGGACAGACTCGGTAGGTTGCTAATTCTCCCAACCCTACCTTGGTTGATAGCATTTTCTCTGACTGACGGGCTGGGCTAGACCTTGTGCATAATCTCTACCTTTTGACTTTTGACTACTATCTCGGAACTGCGCCGCCAACTCGAGAGGACTCGAAAGTCGGTCGCGTGCTCGACGTCGGCACAGGCACCGGCCTCTGGGCAATCGAATTCGGAGAGGACCACCCCGAGGCTGAGGTTCGTAAAGCTTGCTATGCTTTGATCCTGGAGTACAGAGTGTTGATGGCGTGTGTTCTTCTCTAGGTCACAGGTGTGGACTTGTCGGCTTCCCAGCCAAACTTGTATGACACATGCCTTCCAAGACGAGCTTCTCTTGCAGAATCGCTGATGAGATTATTAGCGTACCTCCGAATGTTCGGTTCGAGATCGATGACATCGAGGAACCATGGACTTTCAGTGAGCCCTTTGACTACATTCACAGCAGAATGATGAAGGGCAGCATTCGCGACTGGAAGAAGTTCCTCCAAAGCAGTTTTGAGTTAGTCACCTCAAGCATGTCCATCCGGAGGTGTCTAGCTACTAATGACTGAGCGTCCATGCAGTAACCTCAACCCTGGTGGATATCTCGAACTGAACGATATCGATTTCTTCCCCTTGTCTGATGACAACACGATTCCCGAGGACAGTAAGCTCATGAAGGCCTTTGGGTATTGCTTTGAGGCTCTCGAAAAGATGGGATCGCCTTTTGAAGAGTTTAGCCGCTTCGAGACCCTGCTCGCCGAGGTTGGATTTGAAGACATTCAGGTGCAGCGTTTCAAGTGGCCCACAAACACGTGGCCCAAGGATAAAAAGCACAAGGACCTGGGCGAGTGGAACCTCGAGAACCTTTCGCCCAACTTGGACGGTCTTCTCATGGCGCCGCTGACGCGAGCTCTGGACATGAGCCAGGCAGAGGTCCACGTTATTGCGATGGAGGCTCGTAAGGAGCTCACGGATAGACAGATCCACGCTTACTTCAATGTGTATGACTCTCCTGACCCCCCTAATAATCTGTTTCGAAGGTACGCTTTCTGACCTTTTCTCTCTCTCTAGGTGGTCGATTCATGGACGCAAACCAGCGGCGGCGGCGGCGAACTGAGAATGGCCAAGCCGTCACCGATCCGGTGATATAAAACTCATAGTGTTCTTCAACATGTGGGGAGGTTTAGTTTGTTAGTGACTTGATTTAGGCTGGCTTACCTGGAAACAAGTATAACTTAATGTACCAAATGAGACGCGAAGATGGCTGAATTTCCCCCTCATTTTAAATGCTGAGAAAAGATGACTTTCGTATCAGCTATACACTGATGTCAATAAGTGATTTCAAACTCTGGTCCAAGCAGCGCAGTCGACGAGGTCGTCTCTCCTCAACGCTGATGGTGGCAACATTCTGATGAGTTCAGGCACTTTCCTCACATGGTGTTGATTTCACCCGACTGCTGGACAAGCTTATTTTCAAGTGGAGCAGAGCGGCTCAACCTGGGGCGGACGCGAGATCATCTCGTATTCAGTGGGGGCTTATACGTCGATATTGAAAAACACTATACATAGAACCTAAAGGGCCCTTCGCTCACGCGGGCTGCTCCGAGATGAACGCCGATCTTCGAGACTAAAATTGACGCATTCCCACATCACAAACATGCGATTTATGTCAGACTTCTTGCCCGGTCGAGTAACCTGCTGCCGCTGCTGTTGGACTGCTCAGACATCCGCGAGATGAGAGCCTCGAACATCCTATTGTTGCAGGGGGCAACTCTGCTTATTGGCACAGCACTCGCCTCTAGCTCGTCTATCAATAGAAGAGCCGACATCTCATCCTGCAAATTGCCAGCGACAAACGGCGTCTTCTTCAGCTCTGGTTTTGGCTACAAGTACGATTGCGCTCCCAGCAAGGGCACCATCAATGCGATCCTCATCTTCATCGATTTTCCGGATCAGACCGCTTCAGAAGCTTCTCCGCAAGAAGTCTACGACCTCCTGATACCTCAAGCCCAGCAGTGGTTCAACACGTCATCGTACGGCCAGCTGTCGCTCAACATCACCGCAGACACGAGCCGATTTTACCGCATGCCCAAGAACGCAGCCGAATACAACTTCGTCAGACCTTTATCGCAGCAAGCTCACTATGCTTATGTCCAAGACGCGCTAGAGCAGTGGCTAGATGTCACCAACACGCCAGTCCCTAGGGTCAATAGCACCGAGGGCCCTCTGACTGATATCTTCTACGTGATCCCCACAAGAAACGCGACGAATATTGAGCTTTCTGCAGCTCTAACCGGTGGCGCATATACCAAGAATGTGAACTACATTGCGAGAAAGGCTGTCACCATGGGCATTGACACATTCGATTGGTGGGGTTACAAGGCGGTGAATCACGAGACGGGCCATACCTTCTGCTTGCCGGATCTATACCCCATACCGACGGGTTATACGGGTATGTACGCCGGCAACTGGGATATGATGGCCAACGTGGGGGCTTCTAGCCCGGATTACGTCGCATGGGACAAGTGGAGGTTAGGCTGGCTTACGGACGATCAAGTCGAGTGCGTCGTTACGTCGGCGGCTCCGCTCAACGGCAGCAACATAACTTCATCAACGACGCATAAACTCACGCCACTGGAGACTATGGGCGGCATGAAAGCCGTGGTTGTGAAGCACAATGCGACGATGGCGCTGGTGGCCGAGGTGAGGTCGAGGGAGGGCAACAACCTCAACTCATGTACGACTGGCGTCTTGCTCTATACTGTAGCGACGGATCTTGGTACTGGCGAGGGTCCGATCCGAGTCCTTGATGGGAATCCCGGCTGGGGAACGACTTCTTGCATCAACGATGATCTTGACAACGCGCCGTTGAGTTTGAACGGCGGGGGCGCGAGCGCATACACCTTGACAGATCTGGGTGTGACGGTGACGGTGGTGGAGCAAGACGGCGATAATTACACAATCCGCATTGATGTATCATGAGAGATAATGATTGATAAGTCTAATGGACGCGTAGGATGCATGGGAATGTCGAGACTGAGGGCGCTGAAAGGTCGTGGTGTGTCGAGGTCTCCACTGCCAAGTGCTGTCAAACGTCAGAGGTCCAAATCTGTAGGCCGAGAGAAGGCAGAGAAAACGCTGCAGGCGTGACAGGTTTCCACCAGGGCATGTTTCGGCGATTCAGTGCATGTCATGGGAGCATGAACGGCAGTTCATCACACAATCTTGATAAGTAACGTTTCGTATGTTGCATACTGAGAGCATCTCAAACTTCAGGTGTATAGAATGGGATGAAGTTCATCGTTGGTGGAGGAAACAAAGTTGGGATTCTCCTGAAGAGACTGCAGATGAAGAATTCGGCCAGTGCGTTCGGACTGAAGAAAGAGCCAGAAACAGGTGGTTGTATGCCATTGCATGATATCAACTGATAAAGTTCATGATAAGCCGCCTTCGATATTGTTTGATCGTCAACGAATCTGAAGGAACAACAAGTTATCGTAACTGAAGTAAGGGAACTGACAAAAACACCAAAACATCAAGCAAATTAGAGTCTACTATATCTAGGAACAGCTTGCCTACACTGAATCAGGCATTCAGTTGAACAGTGGGCTCAGATCAGTCAGGCCCAACCACTAGATTTCGGGGACGTGGTTGAACGCAACTTTTACTCAGGGCCAGCCGTCTCGTCAGACTGGAGATATTTTGTGAATCGTAATTCGAAGTCCGAAGAGAAAAGGGGAGGGAAAACAACACCTAGCTGTTTTTGCACTGAAAATGGAACTGGTCAATTTTCGTTGTTGATAATGAGAGTAATTTGGTAGTCAAATCGTCCAGTCGTCTAATAGCTAGGCAACTTTGGAGAACCCATCCACCGTGGACGAGGGTCGAGTCATCCCACCTCAAAATCGATCAAGGACTTCACGGCGCCATAGGCCGAACTCCGAAGGGCGAGGTAGATCATACCACCTTACACAGGAGGGAGTGATGTGAGATGATTGCTTGCCAATACGTAAATCATCCCCGCTTTGATGGACGCTCTATGCGATGATTTCCTGCCAGCCAGACATGTGCACGAGGGTGGCTAGGGCCGCATGGTGATGGTGTCTGAGGTTTCGCCCCTTGGCACTGATGCGTCTGAAGTCTCTGATCGCCTGAAACAGAAGATCTTAAGGCAGGCAACGAGTACAAGTCTCCACTTACGGTGCCGCAGAAGCGTTGACAGACGTTGGTCCCGCGACGGGGTAGATAGACTTCTGGCCAGATAGTGGGATGGTGTCATGCATGCATTCCCACAGAAGACGAAGGGAACTGGGCGACAGTGGTTTGGGGGTCCAATTGCATCCATAAGATTGTCGAGCATTTTGAGTTCCATTTGACAACTGGATCTGACGTGAAGTTTCCTGCAGGCACTGAGGGGCATGCCCGCTTGTCCACCACAATAAGCTTACCAACTGGCGGCAACTTTCCTCATTTTCAGAGGATCCAGAGATAGATGGCAATATCGTCTGGACTCGGATCATAGCTGGCCAGGAACGACGGCCAGAATCTCCGTTGAGCAAGATCGGTTGAATCCCATCTGCTGTTCGGAGCGACATCCCGAATAGGGTGACCTTGTCCGCAGAAAGTGCATCTTCAGGGAGAAGAGGCACTTCTGGAGTACATTTCGCCTACAGAATTACGCAGTAATCAAGCTTTCCAGACATCTGTAGCGCGGGTAGGCCCTGCGCTAAGCCCTAAGAGAATGCGAAAGTGACTCCTTACAAACCAGTTACCCGCCCGGCGAGCTTGCGATCCGGAAGCCACCGAGGTTTGCTATTGGCTTCGGAATGAGTTAAGCATTTGGTCGTGGGGAACTCGGCTTTGATAAGCGGCGGTGGCCCTCTCGAGACGCACGGGTGAAGACCCTCCCCCTTCTTCTCTCCCCTCCCACCCATGCCACCATCGCAAAACGTTCCCACCCTTACCCCAGGCGAAACTCGCTCTATGACAACCTGCGGCTGATTCTGTCTGATCTTCCGCCTCATCTTTCCGTCCACATCGTTGTCGAGGCGTCTGAAGTCTGCGGCGCCTTACCGAATGCGCCGACCACCCGTCGCAAGACTTCCAAAAACTCAGCCGATATCGCGACCCATGTTGCAATAATGAACGCAAATGCAGCCACGCCATAGTCGTTCGCTAGCTGGTCGCGCCCAATTCAGACCATGACGGCCTCGCGCCCCCACCAGACTTGCTTCATGAGTGGTTGACTTGGCGATGACATGGTCACCCGTCGCGTCTGTTCTTTGAACCCCCTGCACATGCCATACCATGATTTCGGGTCCGATAGATTCCTGTACCTGACAATCTTCTAAGTCGCCGTCTTAACCGATTCGGCTCGTCTCATGTTGTCTCGACTCTCGTCCCCCTCGGCCTCCATACCCCGGGGAGAGCGTCGTCTGTCTGAACTTTTGAAGTCTCATCGCAACGGCGTGCTAGCCAAAGCTGGCCGAGCATGAGGCTCTTGCTCTGGACCGTCTGAATTCCACTGATTCACCAAGGATCTGCTCTGATCATGTTTTCCATCCAATCTCTTCTTTATAAACCTGGCTGATCTCCCTCTCGGCACCAAATTTCTTCTTCTTGGCTATAGCTTCTCATCTTCATACGACATTCTCTTTGCACCGTTTCGTTTCATTCTTTTCAATTTCGAGTTCTGTGAGCTCTTCCATTCTTTGTATCGCCAGCAGATCTGACCTCGTTTTACTCTACTATCTTACAATCAACTCTTCGCTTCAAACCACGTCAGTCGACAGCACGCAGAAGGCCGGTCTTTTCTGTCTTAATCACTCTCGACCGTCGATAATCCAAATCTCAATCAAGATGAAGTACCAGACTATCGCTTTCGCCACTTCCACCCTCGTCGGTCTCGTGGCGGCCAGTCCCTACCACCGTCACCACCATGTGAGACGTGTCAGCAAGCGTGAGGTTCCCCAGGAGCACTCTCACGAGATCTTCCTCAACATTACCCGCGAGTTCCTGAACAAGGAGAACCCCAAAGCCATTGCCGACCCCGTCTTTGGCCTTCTCGGAGACGCAGCCGCCAAGACTGGCGCCGGACAGGTCACCAACTTGGCTTGCCTGCAGCAGGAGACTGCCGACCAGGCTTTCACCAACGCTAAGGCCGCCAAGGATATCCGCGGCATGTCTGCTGCTCTCGTCTACCAGACTCTTGAGCGCAACACCGCGGGCGTTGGTGTGAACAGCGCGGCTTGCACCGACAAGCCTGTCAACGCTGAGATCGCCGCCCTCTCCAAGAAGCACCAGGACCCCGCAGCCGATGGCGCTGCAGCCAACAACAAGGAGGTTGCTCTCGCGCTAGCCAAGCAGTTGGCCGCGGTCGGCGGTGATCCCATGCTGGCTCTCGAGAGCGGCACCTTCGCTCCTGGTGACAAGTCCGACACTACCTTCAAGGGTCTCAGCTGCGACACTGACACCGACCCTACCGGATGCATCTTCACTGAGAAGAAGCTTGTCCTTGATGCGACTCCCGACGAGATCACCGCCGCTGCTAAGGGTGTCACTCAGACCATCACCGGTGGCACTGGTGAGCTGAAGGCAACTCACATCGACATCACTGGCCTCGCCGTTGCCGGCCAGGCCGGAGCTGCTAAAGGAGGACAGACTTCAAGCACTCCTGCCAAGGCTAAGAATAGTGCCACGCCTTCCAGCGGCAACACAAACTCCAACTCTAACACCAACACCAACACCAACGCCAACGACGCTTCTTGCGATGCAGCCAGCTCTAACAACGGCGCAGCCCAGACTCAGGCCAACAACAGCACTGCCGGTGGAAACAACGGCAACAACTCAAACAACAACGGCAACGCCAATACTGGTAATGGCAACAACGTCCAGACTTTCACCGGTTCTCTCGGTGGCGCCCCTCCCCCGGTCATCCAGAGCTCCGGCAACCGCCCCTTCTCCGTCAACGGTGACACCTTCGTCGGAAAGGGCGCCGCCCTCGGCCGATCCTGCGACGTTCAGCACAACGCCTGCGCCCGCGCCGTCAACAGTGGCCAGCTCGACGGAGAGGTCTCCCAGTGCGACGAGCAGAACACCCAGTGCCGCGCCCAAGCCAACCTCCGCAAGCGCTTCTTCAAGCGCCAGGCCACCGACTTCGGTTCCTGCAGCGACCCTTCCGTCGTCTTCAAGGACGGCTTGCCCGATCGCCAGGCCGCGGCTTTCATCGCAAACAACCAGGGCGACTTCAACCACGGCTCTGCGCAGAAGATTGGTATCATTGCTGGCTTCATCTGCCAGCGCCTTTCTGACAGCTGCAAGGCGCCTGCTGCTACCGTCGAGAGCTGCAACAAGGCTCAAACTGCGGCTGTTGCTGCTACTCAGGATGAGACTGCTGCGAATGTGTTCAACAGCATGCTTATTGGCGGCTCGGCTAGTGGCAACGTCACCGCTCGTGGTGAGCTCAGACTTCACTGATTGGAGTACTTCAGAAGTGCATTCGAATCGTTACTCGATGATGGGTACATGGAAGGTGTTTAGGCTTGCATTGATTTACGCTTCCGGTGGCAGTTTGGTGGCAACATTGAGATATCCTCCGCACGGGTCAATGTCAGGAGTAGCTTTAGGTGTTTCTTGGAGTCTTGGTGACTTTTCAAATTGAGTCAAAATTTCATGCCTCACATCCTTATTTTAAACATCGAGTGACCTATTCAGCAGTCTATTGCTCATGCTAACCAAACCCTTGATAGTTCATTGGTCGCATGCGGCGGTATTCACGACAGGGCAGTAAGGTTTGAGGTTTCTAGGCCCGTTTCGAATTGCTTAACTCATAGGAGCTGGCCATTGGCAAGGATGCAATAAGTTTAAGTATTATTGATAAGTAACCTAGAAGTCTTCTCTCAAGACACCGACTCAAGGCGAGTCGTACTTGAGGTACGCGCCGCTGCCAGTGTCATGCGTCAGGTTCGTCTGCACAACACGACCGTTCTTCAAGCTACCACTCTCAGCAACACCTCCAACAGCCGCGGTACCGTTCAAACGATGCAGCTTGTTCTCGCCAGCCAGCACTGTGAAGTTGGCGAGGGAAATCTCGTATCCCTGCTTGATCCTGGTCGTAGGAATACCAAAAAATGAAGCATTCACAGCATCGTAGTCAATGCTGAGCTCATAGTATCCCCTGTAGAACAAGTCTTGCCACTGCAACTCGCGATTCGCAGCCGTAAGCCATGCAGATCCTGCATTCGCCGCCGCCAGCGAAATATTCTGCCCAGCAGGGCAAGGCGAGCTCACAGCTGAACCCGCAAATTCGACGCCGACGGAACCGGAGCCCGTGTTCGGATCGTACTCGTGCTCACCAAGCCAGACAAGATCCGATACCCACGAAGCGTGCGAGTCGCCCGCGAGGAAGATGTTGTTGCCGACGTTCTGCTCGTACAGGACCTGGAAGGTGCGGTTGCGGTTTGCTTGATAACCGTCCCACTGGTCGTAGTTCATCGGGTTCTCGGCGCCGAGGGCCAGACTCTCGTTCATGCGGCTGAAGATGATTTGGTTGCCAATAACACGCCAGGTCGCACCGCGGGTCGAGCTTTGGCGAAGGGTTTTGTAGAACCAGGCTTCTTGGCGGGGTCCCATGAGGGAGCGGCTTGCGTCGTTGGAAATGGCGTGGATGTAGTCGGTGTTGGTGTAGACATCCGTGATCTAGGGGGTTAGCAAGACTCTGAAATTCCTATAGGAGAGGAGTAAAGCTTACAGCGCGATCGTACTGGCGAGTATCCAGCATCACAAGGTCGAACAAGTTGCCGAAGTTGAACTCTCTCCAGATGCGGAGGTTATCATCCATATCGACCTGGCGAATGGGCACTAGCAGGGCGTTAGTATCGATATCGTCATCAAAACTGGGTTAGAGTGTAAGCATACTCCACTCAAAGTACGCGCGAACGGCATTCATCTTGCGCTGATCAACCGAGACACCGCCATCAGCAATGAAAGAATCCTCAGTGTTGTTAAGCTCTGAGGCACCATCTCGCCACGTGTTGTCCGAGACCTCTGTTTCCCATTAGTCAATGTGGCGCATAACGAAAGACTGCTACCAACCGTGGTCGTCCCAAACCGGGATCCAGGGAAAGCTCTGGTGGCTGGCCACCAAGTCCAGGTCGGTTCTGTAGGTTGCAATGCGCTTGCGGTAGTCATACAAACTGCCAAAAGTCAGCTTGGAATGTTCCCTAGAGAAGTAACACAAGCTACTGACGTGAAGATCTGGCGATCGGGTAGAGGAATTCTTCCGATCGAGTTGCCCCAGCCATACTCGCCATTGCCGTACTCGTAGATGTAGTCTCCAAGATGGATCACGTAGTCAACCGAGTCTTTTCGGACTGGGTTGCCGTACGCGTTGAAGAAACCGAAAGCTTCACCAAGTCAGTCGAAAAGTTCTAAGGACTCTGGAATGGAAAGTTCACGAAGACGTACGGTAGTTGCTGCAAGAGTAGACGGCAAGCTTGATCGGTGTTTCAACTCGGGAGTTCTTTGAAGGAATCGTCTTTGTCCGGCCAATCGGGGACGTCTTGTTTGAGTTGCAAATACCAAACTGATAGTCTTCAATGCAAGTTAATTACCCTCCCTGGACGAGTTGAACTGTGGTCACTCACAATAGACCGTGAAAGGCGCCAATCGCTTGGCCTCAACCTTGACAGTATAATCCACATCAGAGCTCGTGTAAGCAGTACCCGAGTCAACAACAGCTTCAAAAGTCTTGCTTGTGCTGATTTTCCAATCAACGCAGACCGGAGAGTCACTCTTCTTCACATAGTCTTCCGTGCTGTGGTCATACAGGGGAACGTAGCCGCTGACAGTCAAGTTGCTCTTGTCATTGTCAGCTGTCGGAGCAGCTCGCGTCCACAGGATGACGCTGTCCTCGTACGGATCACCGGAAGCCACGCCATGCGTGAAGTTCAGCTTGGCTGGATCCCAGTGGGAGTTGGCGTAGGTGCGCTTAGCGACCTTATTGATGGAGACACCAAGTGACGCATGGTGCTTCGACGGCGACAGGTAGTTGAGGTTACCTGTGAAGGCAGCCGATGCCGCAGTGGCTAGAGCCAAGATAGCAAAGATGGACTGAACCATGATGACTGTGGCTGTCACGCTCTGGAGAATTGAGACGCGAATGAAGTGACCACAAAGACTTGAGCTTTTGGTTGCCAAGAAGGAACCATCATTAAGCTTTGACGGCGAGAGCCGCCATTTATGAGCTTTGGTTTACAAAAGTTTCTAGGCAGGAGAATACCAGGATGAGCTTCCACAGCTTCCATCTCAGGCCGTTTGTTTTTCGCTCTTGATGGACGCCCGCCACGTGCGTTATTCAGACGGCCAGGCTCGTGGGTAATCATCTCAACAGTGATTGGACATTGAATCCCTTCACCGGACATCAAGAATCGTTAGTCTTCTCTCGATGACGACAATCACCAGGGATTATCGCAGAGTAGCATTCGCGAACCCCTCTTCTTATCAATCGTGCATGTGCTGAGATGGGCATAGGTTTACCAGGCTTGCAAGGCTCGGAAATAAGTCCTCTTTATGAATGGCATATCTTGAACCGCGGTTCACACGTGCGCCCGGCTCTGGAGGTCATTGGTGGTCTTGGCGCTGTGGGGCCGTCGCTCCGGTCCTTCGGCTCTACATAGCTGGGATCCCGCCTTTGTCAACTCGTGCATAGCAGGGTCGCGTTTTCAATGATATATTGCTGAACAAAGATATCCTGTCTTCTCCATGGAAAAACATTGCTGTTTTGGAACATCGTTTCAGCATGACGTGGAACTAACAATCTGCTGGCGCATACTGTTTGTTTTCTAAGGTAAATGTATCTAGCTCTGCATACAATACAAGTGACTTCCCACACTTAATGGAGGCCGAAGTGACATTTACACCCAACAGGTAATGGCACTCAACTTCGTATACTACACTCTTATGGCGCAATAACAAACATCGTCTAGCGCACATTGTTTCCTCCCATATTCACGCGTCAATATTTTTGGGGGGAAATAGGTACATGTACCTGACATGAAAGACCTAACCCTTTGGGATGCAATGCTCGCGCTGATTTGCGTTCGATGAGAAATGAGACTCTCAAAGGACGTGGTATTGGTAGGAGTTATACACAGTGAGGCGCCTAGCTTATGAAGTATGTTAGGCAATCACTTCGCTATGTAGACCAAGTAGATCGCTACCAATTATATGTTGTGCTTGAATGCGAACAATCATGAATAAACAGATTATTGATTCGTGCACACAAAATCACCTTGTGCGATCTGGCCGATTGGATAGCTCTACCCAGGTCCGGACTCATCAATTAACCACGACCATGCGTGAGCTCTGATATGGCTAGTCTCATCTCGAGCAGCCCTGTTTTCCATGCGGAACAAGCAGAGGGTAAGACTAAGAGTGAGCATTCTTCATTTCATGCGTGTGACTCCATACGTGACAACAGACTCCCAGAAGAATACATACACATAAAATGAGGAAACATGGCTCGCAAAAAAAGTTTTACTGAAGTACCAGGCTTTGACAATAGAGTCTATGCCCATGAATCATCGAGCTAGCCGTGATACACTATAGCAGACCTGGAAGATATAGTTCTGAAAAAGAGTATTGAACTTGCAGTGGTAATGTTTCCAAGGTTTCAGAAACACTAACTAGTCCCTTGTAAAGAAGATTGAAGTGAAAATTTGCCCATGCAGAAGCTACAACAGGGGTTTGATTCGAACACTTCATCCGCGAAAAGCTTATACCTAGTAACGAATAAGAGGTCTTCGAAAGTTCAAGACGGCTCAAAGTCTTGAATTGGGCTATCATGACTCAATAATTCCATGCCCCCATGTAATTCTTCGTAGAACAAAACGACTACCTCAGTCGATTAGACTTCGGATGGAAATACATAGGAAAGACCACTAATGGAAGGAAGACGACGGGAGGTATTGTAAACGCGATACCAAGGCTCCTATTAGCAGGTAACACAAAGGGCAATACCACAGGAGCTAATGAAGTTACAGACATATAGATGATGAGGCGTAGAAAGGTTTTCGATTGGTACAGATGACCAATGACTGGGTCATGAAGCTGCCCGGCAGCCTTTTCTGAGGCTGATAGTAGCCCACGATCGTTCTGAAGTACGTCTGATAGTTTTGTTGCTGCTGTCAATGCTGCTTGACGCGGATGAATCGCAAAGCTTCCGACGGAGACTATCGCTGAGGATGGAGGGATTTGGGGTACTCTTTGTTCTTTGATACTAAAGTCAGTACATACTTTGGTCTGTGACAAAACTCTGGCCTTGTTCTCAGTACGACAGGTCTCACGCTTACCTAAGTACAACTGGAGAGCCACGAAAACAGGTTGAGAAAGTAGAAGAACGGGGAGCAGTTGACCAAAGCCCATTTCTCGCTCAGCTGACCGTATTTCCTTCCCAACTTGACTCTTACTAGAGAAAAGCTGGAAGGTACCCCATGCCAAAGTAAATGCGAGTAGGAACAAAGTGAGCATGAAAGATTCCAAAAGCTCCAGCCAAGCAACTGAAACGATATAGATACTGATAATCGCCTTATACAAGGCTCGTTTACGCCAGCCTGGCGGTTTCTGTAGTGTGCGCTTCGCGGCCATCTCGAGAAAGTACTCCAATTGGGATCTTCCCCAAAATCGTACCCAATCCCGACTACTGTCGAAAAATTGACACAGTTTCCAGGCGAAGGCGCCGATCAAGGAGACATACGAAATCCAGGAATCACGGTGTTTCTTTGAGCCATAAGTTCGCGTATCCCAAAAACAACGAACAGGTAGACCTGGTTGCATTGATCGCCAGTCAAAAAACTCATGGCGCAAATTTCCGGGCCATTTCGATGAGACGGTCGGAACCAGGGCCACGAGAAGGAGTCCTAGAATCAAGATTATGGCGGATACTCGAATAGATCGTAGTGCCCTGCTGGCCCGTAGTCTATCTCGAAGTACTGATAATGACATGAGATGGACTGTTGAGCTGAGCCACGCCAGATATACAACGGCGTTCCAGTGATAGGCGCTAAGATTGGCCCCCAATGCTTGAGTATAACCGGCTATGAGGATGGTGAGACCGGTCAGAAGCTGTTGATCGCTGAGCATCAGTACTAGCTCCACGAACATTTTCCTCCATCTATCTTCCGACTGTTCTGGGCGAGCGAAAAAGAGCCTTCGGTCAATATTACGAGCCAGACCCTTCGGCAAGGCTCCAAACCAGTAAGCCCATACAATGAGAGCAAAAACTAAATAGGCGGACACCACAAAGGCCGTGAGCACCTGTGGGCTATGTAAGTAAGGCCTATGATATCATGTGAGGCTATCGGACTTACCCCATTCCCAGAGATGTCTGGGTTCGGGTAAACGGTCATCTCACAATCTAAATAACGTGTACAATTGTCCACAAAAGCCTCAACTTGGCTGACTAGAACATTGGGAGAATAGCCTAGCTTGGGACCATCGTTTCCACTCCAGTCAGTGGAGGTTTCAGTGGTGGTCCTCGTCACTGCTACGGCCGCTGCAGTTCCGAATGTGCAAAACGTTATCGTCGTCGTCTCCTGGCTGATGAGCGTGGGTATCGCATTTGAAGTAGTAGACATTATTTGTAGACGATAACTCTTGGCTGGTGAATTTTGGACCTGGTGAGTTTTGAAATCCTCATGAGAGAAGCACGCGGATGAGAGGGAAAACTAGGCTTGCTCGACCTTGTGCGAAGTCTGCGGCGAACGTTTGTTAATCAGGCTGTTTGGCAGAAAGGCTTCGGGTAGTAGCCTAGACTGACGTAATCGAGCGAAGTGACGGGAGAAGTCTCATCTGATAGGCCTGATTAAGCCCCTAGTTTTCACCGCTAGTGTGCATCAGTACATTGCACTTTGTGCTTGTGGCACATCTCATGCCTCTGGTTGGGGTCTTGAGGGACAAGAAACCTTCGGTGCAGCCTTTCCCGCCCCCTTTCCTCTCCAGCTGTACTTGGCTGTGAAGATATCTATCATTCGTAGGCGACAAAACCTGTGGAAGAATGGAGACCAGCTAAGATTCACGCTGTACCTTTTCTAGGCTGTGGACTTGCTTTTGAGGTAGCTTATCATACACTGTTTGAGATGATCAGTAGTTCTCAGTACCATCCAACCAGGAGACCACCTGGTGACATGCAAAATACCTATGTAAGTTGGGGTCAGATCACAGTATGACTTAATGTCACTCCTAAACGATGTGAGCGGGGTAGACCGAAGTCCGAGGATCTATTATTAGGAGCTGGGCAGTTCTAGGTCATCACTGCTGGGATCTGACTTGCTGACTGCATGAAATCCCTCCATCGTTAGCAAGACACCTGACTAAAAAGTATCTATGCTCAGACAGATATGATTCCGGTTATCACAATCACCCCAGCCACGATCCATCCAAACGTAAGAAGTTTGGCCTGAACCAAACCTCCTGAACGCAAATCAATGCGATCTTGTGCGGAGCAAACTACACGGTATTGCCCGCTTGCCTTCTTCTCAAGCTTATCGAAGGGCTCACATGAAAAAGAGCCTTCCGCATAGACTTGAAGGTATTCCGTCCGGTTGGCGAGCGCCTCTTTGCTGAGTTTGTTTCGAAACTCAAAGTAGGAATCGCTTCAACATATCATTAGTATTTTTCGTCCCACATCATCATCGGAGACACGAAAGAGCTTACAAAAACTGTTTAGACAAATTCCCCCTTAGGTAACTTTTTCCCATATTTGGCCGGGGCCAGTACCACGACCGTATCATCTCACCCTTTTCGGACACTCGATACTCTGTTGATAAATTCAAGTTGGGGTTGTATCCGATGTCGAGGCTGAAGTCTTCCCACTGCTCTGCCTGTGGTGGAACCGAAAGCCACACTAACTCCCGTTCGTTCCTGATTGTGAGATTGCCCAGATGGTCGAAAGGTAAATCGAGATGCTGATAAAAATTGGCGCCGAAGCTACTAAAGCTACCCACACTCAACGTCTTGAGGTTTACTAGCCGCTCAATGCCGTTAAGGCTGTATGTTGTTTGAATACTGCCAATTGTTTGTTCAGTGATACCAGATCCGCCCAGCACCAGCGTGAGATTGTTTGGCTTTCCGGATGTGCTATAGGCGAATTTCACCGTGCCAATCTTCGCGGCGCCAATCTGAAGGCGCTTGACTTTGCCTGAGTTGTAGATGGAAACGTCGTCCACTCCGAGTTGAGGTTCCTTGAAGAATGCGTCGAGAGACTCGAGACCGCCTAACCCGAGCTCCATGGATCTACCATCAATTGAACCGTCGCGATTCGTGATACCGGTGATATTACGAAAGGCGCTCAATTTCAAATTCGTCAATTTGGGTGCATACATGAGTCGCATATATCCCACTGACTCTAATCGGTCGACGTCGAGATACTTCAAGCTTTCCAGGCTGTGAAGCACGAAATTTTCGCCGACCGATTGCAGTTCTGGAAAGCTAAGGCCTGAGATCCATCCGTCATATGCTAATAATATCGAGCCGTTGACTCTTGTGATGGTACTGGAAGAGATGCTTGTGATATTGTGGTTGTATCCAATGCACTGCGCTGATACTTGTGGGCATTGAGAAACGTTCACAAGGTCGCCATGAATAACCTTGACTCCCTCGAGGGCAATCTCCTGAGCGGATGCTCCGGTGATGACAGTAACATTTCCAAAGATCTCGGGACAGTTCCGCAGCGCATCTGCATCCGCTTGTGACGTGATCACCACGGAACCACACTCCTGGCCGATGACTTCTGTTGGTTCAAAGGGTCGTTAGTCAAATCACGGGCAGGCCTCATTTCATGTCTTCTTACGATGCTGCCCGACAATGAGGGCTAATAAGAACCCATTTATCCAAGGCGACGACCCAAACATGTTGCAAAGACCGAACTACAATCAGTCGCAAGCATACATATTGAAGAGCGGGCGCTGACTTCCTTAAAGACAACCAAATCCCCCCGTTATTTCCAAAGCTCCACTGAATTAGCTACCTGCATTGGGGCACATGCCCGTTCACCAGGAGGTAGGGCTGGCAAAATAAGCTTAAGCCTGATGGTTAACACATAAACTGCTGCCTACCAAACCAACCGTCGGGATACTGGCTCCGATAGAAGGCTTGACCACAATTTCCTCACGAAGACCGGGCGCCTGCCCCTGGTCGATTTGGTGGACAAAATTACAAGCATCCCGAAGAGCTGAAATCGCAGGGTCTTAATGCAGGGTCAAATCGTCTGACCTTCCTATTAGGTAGTAGCTTCGTAGCTGCCAAGTCCGCCCTACCCGAGGAGGAATCTTGACCGAAGCCAACGGCCTCATCAGGGATTTCTCATCCGAACTTGAACCAAATAACACAAAATTCAGAAATCCACGACTTGTGCAACAACGCGTCTTGATTGCGTGTCAAGTTCGCGAACTATAGAGGCCAACTTCGACATCAATTGAATTTTGCGTTTGCGAATCACGTCCACGGTAGTCATAGAAAGTTTTGTAGAACTTGGTTGAGCGCCGAAACAGCACCCAGCATTCTCATTCCAATTCTGCCGCGGTCACCACCTGCCTTTCAGAGCACTGGTAGTTGATTGATTATGGAAGTCATGAAGTTGCAAGAGAGTTATAATGTCATAAGCAGCATCAAGTGACGGATTGCAATGAATTGTTTAAGAAGACTTCGTGCTATGACAGACGTGATCCCCTAAGGTATGTTGTCTTTTGTGAACTCAACCGCAACTTCGTACGACGCAGCACGAGTTTCGAAAGACTGTGCGGCGACTGAAATTGAGGGCACTTCGCGTGTTCTTGTTTCATCTTAAGACAGAAATTGGAGGCCAAAGCATGCAAGCAAGCCTTTGGGCCATAGAGACAACCAGACGATGAACTTACCTACTAACAGAAAGCTCGGTTTTTGGGAGATTCAGGACGATTCTTCTCAAACAGTCAGACTATTTGCAGAACTGGGAGGCAGCATCAATTACCATCACTCACAGATAGGTACTAATGCTGGCTATGTGTAGGTTTCTCCGTAGTCTCCGGATCCGGGTTGGTGGTAAGAGGCTTATACCTCCATGATCTAGGCAGAGACTAAGTCGTTCTTTGGACACTTTTCAGTGGCTTACAATGCCGATTTTCATCTTGGCACTCGTGGTAAGCATCTTCTTCTCCGGTGTTCCTCACCCGCTGGGCGCACTCACGACTCAAGAACCCCGTCGGACTTTGAGTTTATTCCCCGTCGTGATACAAAACTACCGACGACATGGTCTCTCCTAATACGATTTATCTTGGCAAGTATGCGATTTCTGGAGAAGCCTATCATTCTTGCTACAATTTCCAAAGATAGAGGGAGGCTCAGATGAGTGCCAAGTCGAGGTTAATCAATCTGAACTTTACGGAGTGTCTTTGCTGACGAACGCTTCCCTCACCACTGGGCTTAAAGGACTGGCAATATTCCAGTTCAAGTAGATCGAATGAAATCATGTTAGATCTTGTTCCCTGATACTTGTGTTCTCTTCATACTGCCACTACCGTCAACATTTTCCTCCAATTATCAGCGACCATGAAACAACCAGTGTACATCCTGTTGTTGCTCCTAACATTTGTCGTCTCCTCCGCGGGGACGATCGCACTCACCTTTGCACCATGCTACGCAACATTTTGCTCCGAGGACTACTTCGAATTCGAGACTAGATTACACCTTTTAGTCTACTTCGGCTTAGTCGCCGGCTTCGGCTGCTTTCTCCTCCTTCGATCTTATACCACGTGGGTTCATGCCCTAAGTAGTTACCATCTCATGCGCATACCTTTGGGAGGTAAACGTGTCACTTTTGGTGGTCTTTTGGCAAGTATCTGGATAGTCGCGGTGGTTGCCTCCACGACTCTGTTCTGGCTGCCAGCTCAACGGGACTTCTGGGGTTTCAGAGCAGACCCCTTGGGATGGGCGAGTGCTAAGCTTAAACTCACGATCACGGGGGTGACTGGTCACTATGCCGATATCCTGCTCGGACTATTGGTGATCCCAGTTCCTAGGAACAGTCTACTTGGAAGGGGGTTCTCGATGCATCACAGCACACTATTATATGCGCACAAGATCGTTGCCTATCTCTTTTCGGTATCAGCAACCGCTCATGGAGTTACATACCTTGTAAGTCTTTGGTTCAGTTCCGGCACCTTGTGCGATTTCTAACAGGTAGTAGCTGTATGCAACAGATTCCAGCAGCGACGGCGATGAGGCAAAGGAGGAAGCATTCGCCACAGGCAATCCGGCGATGACTCTGTCGGAGAGCAAGCAAAGAAGCGAATGGTTCACCATGACCACATACACCGGTATAGCTGCCATCTTGCCCGTGTGGTTGATCATCGTCACCTCGCTTCCATGGATTCGGAGAACCCACTACAACTTCTTTTACTACACCCATGTCATATTCGGTCTGATCATTTTCGTCGCGGCATGCATCCATGCCAGTACCGACTTCTATCTCCTTCTTCCGGGACTCTACCTCTGGGTCGCCGACTGGACATGTAGACTCTTTGGCGGACAGGCAGGCGGTCTCGCCTCGAAAACCGGTGCGACTCTGGAAAATGCAGGCAACAATTGGCTCAGGATATCCACACACCTGCCAGTCTCAAAGAACGCATCAGCGAGCACTTTTGACCTCGTCCAGGAGAAGGGAGAAACTCTGCACGAACCTCTTAGCTACTACTATCTCAGCATCCCATCCATCAGCAAATTACAGAACCACGCATTCACCGCTGCAGTTTCTGCTTCCACCGGAGCTGGTCCCACTTTCCTCTTGCAACCCACGACTGGAAAGAAGCAAAAGAGGCTGGACAAGGAATGGACTTGGAAGTTGGGCGCCCTTGTTCCTCAACCATTTGAGAGCACAGTTGTTGAAGTCCGAGTTGCGGGGCCCTACAGTGTCGGCGACGACGGATTCAAGAACGCATCTCACATCGTGTGTGTTGTAGGTGGAACAGGAATCACCGGCGCCTTGAGTCTAGCATCATGGTGGTTGGAGAAGAGGCCACCGAACTCAACCTTCACTCTCGTATGGTCTGTGTGTTATAAGGAGGCTACGACGATCACGGAGTGGGCTCAACTTCAAGAGGCAGCTTCTTCGGTGCCGGAGCTTACTGTGGTTGCCCACGTGAGTTCAGGAAGTGGCCGTTTGGATCCCACCTCATGTATCCGTGGAGCTCTCATTGCCGGCCAGCAAACAAAAGCGGACTCCGTCGGACATGCTTGGGTCTACAGTTCTGGCCCAGCAGGTCTCATTGGCACTGTTGAGAGGGCGTGTGTTGAGGCCCGGAAGGGTATCGTTGCTGGTAGAGGGGGGAGAAGTACCGACTCGTGGAAAGTACGCGATCTGGGCTGGTACATGGCGAAGTGGGAAGTCTGAGGTTTTCAACTCCCACAAGCTTGGTAGGTAGATTTCCCTTGTTATCTGCAAATTGCTGGCTTTTCTTGTCTGCACGTGGGTTGATTGGCAGCAATGACAGTTGTTCCTAGCGGACTCAACTATGTTAGATTCTACTTTCTTATTCCTCATATAGAAAACTTGAACAGTCTCAAATCCACATTTGAAGTGATAGCCATGCACGACGTGGATGCACTTGTTCCGATCAGCTGAATAAGACTGCATGTAATACCCAATGGTTGCTAAGTAGAGTACAAAAGTACGATATTGCTTTGCGAGAAATTCAGTTGGAGATACACTACGCCCCGATCTCCTTCACAACCCTCTTGACAACCTCATCCAGATCTTCCTCTGAAACACCAAGCTTGCCCATGTCGGTGACCTTGGCGCTGTAGTCACCGCCCCAGCCCTCGCGCATGTGGTTGACATAGAAGCCAACCAACATGGCCATGTGATCACCCTTCTTGAACTTCTCGTTCGAATCAGCCACGACAGCCTCTGCATCCAAAACCTCAACCTTCCAATCCGCCTCCTTCGTGCCCGTGGCTCGCAGGATGCTATCAAGCATATCCCTCTGGCTGATATAAAAAGACTTCAAGTACACAGGCTTGTTCCGGAACTGCTCAAGCTCAGCATCGGGCAAGCTCAAAACACCAGCGGTGGCCTTTCCGGTCGTGCCAATAGTGGTGGTGATGAACTTCGTGTTCCCACCATCAAATAGCTTCGCAGAGCGGTTCTTGATATCGATGCCCCAGAATCCCTGACCAAGAGACCAGTCGAACCAAGGGTTGTTGACAATGGTGATCCAGCTCAGGCCCAGCTCCTCGGTCAAATCGCGGAACTGCTTCTTGCCCGCGACCATGGGGCTGGCCTCGAGCAATTTGGACGGCGCGGGGTCGGAGCCGAATTCGGTAGGCACGACCCACTTGACGCCGGCCTTGGCCGCAGCACGGATGAGAGGCGCCTGGCCGGTCATATAGCTGTCGAAGCCGAGTTGGAGGATCAGCACATCCTGGCCTTGAAACGCTGATACCAGGAAGTCTTCGTCAGAGTAGTCGCCCTTCTTGACGATGACGCCGGCTGGGAGTGTGGCGGAGGATTGGGCGCGGGAGACGGCGGTGATGGTGTGGATGCCCTTGTCGAGGAGGGCGTTGAGGGTGAACCCGCCGAGGTTACCACTGGCACCGACGATGGCAATCTTGCGTCCTTGTTGTCCAGACATTTTTAGATTGAATTTTGAATTTGAAGTGATTCAATGCTGAATGACGATTGAGGATTGGTGATTGGCGATTTATAGTAGAAGTTGATTCTTGAGCTTCGATACTCAATTTGTCTTTTTGTTTGAGTGATTGATCTGTGGTGTTATGCTGCTTTCCTTCATCCACAAGAGGGCAGATGCCATCCTTTAATATTTCTGACATACTGACAGATCTCAATGAGGCACAAGTAGTGTTCCCGTTTCCGTGCTCAACAAACAATGCATTATTGCTTCCAGCACCCGGATAGTGTGTAAGCCTTCAGAGACATTGGATCCTCCACCACCATGAAAACGCATCCGGCGAGCACAGACAACATCCAAAGTGCTGCTGACAACTTACAAATGGAGTGGCTGATTGCTAAGCTCCTGGGATCAGCTAACTTAAAAGGGTCCGAAACCTGACCAGATGTGGCTGGTTGGTGTCCACACCGCGCGGTTCGGGGGTAAATTAGCCACGTTGGGATGCCTCAGCTCCGAGGCTTCGGACTTTTGAATTGCCCATTTTGTTGATTTGGGGCAATTCCCCTCCACAGGCGTCCCAGATCTGAGTAATCCAGCTCCTGTCGCTGTGAAGTTTGTGAGACAACTCATTGTTTCTTGCCATAACATACCCGGGACTTTCGTGCCGTGAAAGGATTAGGCTGCATGCGTCACTACCTATCTTTGTCAGCTGGAGTTGAGTATCTCATGGTCAAGGAAGGCCGAGAAAATATTCGTGGACAGTGGTTTTGTTCATCGCATCGAAAGATGACTTGTTGCTCCCCATGAAGGAGCTAACTTTGGAGCCGACCGGCCATTGCAATTTTCGCAATGTCGAAATGTCTCCGGCTGCGTCTGTCACCAGCTGGCAGTAATCGGACTCGTCTGAAACGCGCCTGTGCTCTCCCAGCTCATCCGGCGGCGCATCGCTGACGGCATTCGGGGACGCAGCATGCGCTCATCCATGTCCATCTTTGTGCAGCTAACAACGACATACGCATTGAATGTCGAAGTAGCAGAACCCATCGTCGCATTGAATCGTCACTCATCTTGTAGAAATTCAAGTGTGATGAGATCGCTTCATTCCACACCGGAGCGTTGACCACCAGCTCTCAGCCTGCTTCGATCACCCTCCGGCTATGGGCAACTGAGCGAGCCACAAATTCACAGCCTTGAGCCTCGTAGGACACCCTCTTGTAATCACCGAGCCAATAAGTTGCAAGTGGACTCATAATGGCCTCCGCCTCTCGCGATGGCGCCCGCTTCCAGCCACTCCCCTCGGGACCCTCAGGGCCGGGCTCTAGCTCCTCGAGGTCGTCCTTTGACTCAACATCCGATCCCAACGATGCCGACGACGAAGCTTTCGCACTTCTATCCGACGACGATGCCGTATCTCTTCTTTCGGATGACATCGAGCTCGAAGAGATCTCCACAGCCGGGCCATCCGCCGGCTCGGGCTCTCGTCCGGCTAAGTCCCGGTCAGAGATGGATCAACGGTTCCAGGATGCCATCAACGCCGAGCGGAACATGACGCCACGAGATGCCATCCGCGCCTACCCGATGGCCGTATTCTGGAGTCTCGTCGTGTCTCTATGTGTGATCATGGAAGGTCGGTTCAACATTAGAGACAACTACGTGAGTACTTCAAGCTAATGAGTTCATAGGCTACGACACCATCCTCATCGGCAGCTTCTTCGCCCACCCAGAATTCGCAAAGAAGTTCGGCGATGGCAAAGATAAAGAAGGCCGAGACCAGCTCTCCGCCCTCTGGCAAGCCGTCCTCGGCAACAGCAGCACCTTTGGCTGCATCATCGGCGTCATCGCCAACGGCTTCCTCGTTGAGCGGTGCGGCCAAAAGACAGCCCTCATCAGCTCTCTCTTCGTACTCTCCGGCTGCATCTTCATCACCTTCTTTGCAACTAATAAGACCATGCTCATGCTTGGTCAGATCGCGTGCGGCCTGCCCTGGGGCGTCTTCGCATCCTCAGCACCCGCGTATGCGTCTGAGGTCTTGCCGTTGACGCTGCGCGTGTATCTGACTACGTGGACCAATATGTGCTTCATCATCGGCCAGCTCATGTCCGCGGCCGTACTCGCGGGGCTACTGCCGCGAAAAGACGAGTGGTCCTATCGAATCCCGTTCGCATTACAATGGTCCTGGCCGGTACTGCTTATCCCGCTGCTGGTATTTGCTCCGGAGTCCCCATGGCATCTTGTCAGGACCGGCCAGCTCGACAAGGCGGAGAAGGCATTGCTACGTCTCCAAAGGCGAAAAGTTAACAACCTAGACGCCAAAGTCCGTCTACGTGAAATCATAGAAACCGATAGAATGGAGCAGGAGCACCAGACAGGAACTACCTACTGGGACTGCTTCCGCGGCGTCGAACGTCGCCGCACAGAGATCGCATGCGTAGCATTCGCAGGCCAAGTCCTCTCCGGCTCGAGCTTCGCCTACAACTCAGTATATTTCTTTCAGCAAGCCGGGCTGAATCCGCAAGATGATTATAACCTCAATGTCGGCGGTACCGCGCTAGCTCTGGTGGGGACCGTCGTCAATTGGGTCGCGCTGATGCCGTACTTTGGCCGTCGTCGTATCTATCTCTGGGGCATGTTTAGCATGTCCACTATACTCTTCATCATCGGCGTCCTCGACAGGATAGGCCGGTTGCCGAATGCACCATCGTCACCCATAGGCTGGGTCCAAGCCTGTCTTACCCTGGTGTGGACTTTTATCTTCCAGCTATCGGTCGGTCAGCTTGGGTGGGCTATCCCAGCCGAGGTTGGATCTACGCGTCTACGGCAGAAGACCATTTGTGTCGCGAGGTCTACCTATTATGTGATGAATCTACTGGCAAACGCCTTCCAGCCATTTTTTATCAATCCGAACGCGTTGAATCTCAAGGGTACTACGGGTTTCGTCTGGGGAACCTCGGCGTTTCTCACATTTGTGTGGGCATTTTTCCGGCTGCCGGAAACAAAGGGGCGCACGTACGAGGAGCTGGATTATCTCTTTCACAACAATACCGCGACGAGGCAGTTTGACAAGACGGAGGTGGATGTTTTTGAAGGAGGCTATGAGAAAGTGTCACCACCTAACTCTCGATGAGTTCCTTCATGTTCTCCTGTAGGATTCAGCTACTGGATGAGAGGACATAGCAATAGGTAAAGTGCTTAGGTACTTGTATGAAGAGAAGGAATGACAAGTATCACTTCTTGTCCGATTGGGAAGACATGCCATTGACCAATAGTGGTTTCTTCCTGTTTATCACACGATGTCTTGCGCAGTCGCTGTTCACCTAGATCCAGAGATCTCGGTCAGCGAGCGTTTCTTGGAAATTTGAGAATTGTGAGCCCTGAGTCTGGATACATGACGTAGCTCATGACTATGCGCACACTTGAAGTCACTATCCCGAGGTCTTGTCAATGGTAAACATTTCAGCTGAAGTAGCGCTTGTACATCAGATGCCTCGATCTTTTGACTCGTCAACCTCGATTCAAATCCGGCAGAGGCTTGCACGAAGAGCAGGGATCATAGCTCAACGCCACGGAATCTCCCCGCACATCCACAGCCTAAAGGCAAAAGGGCAAAACACACACACACACACACCGACCCCGGTCAAGCTTGCTCCCCCCCACCAAAGGGCGTCAGGGCGCAGCCAACACGCTGGCAAGCTTCGGAGACTCGACGCTAACGAAGCGGTTACCCCAACGAGTAAGCAGACTGGAAAGTCGGCGAGCGGGCAGA